TCTATTGCAGTGATTTCCAATCAGAATTCTAAAGCATCTTCAATACTTCAAGAAATGTCAGGAAAATCCTTCACCACCAAAATAAATAAATAAATAAATAAAAGATTTTATTTTTCTAAAACGTGTCAGAGAATATCTTTTAAAAAGAAGATGAAAGAAGCAGAGGTATAATGTAATAATGGCACATAATAATTAGTGTCAACTTTTAAAAGTTTGAAAACTATTGTTCTACTGGAATAGTTACCATTGGATAAACATGCACACACACACAACCCTACATTTCATACCCAATGTGATTTATGAATTATAATGTAGTGTCTGCTAATGAATATGGAAATATGTATAGAATTACAGCAGGCTAGAAGATATGTATGAATGAATCTTAAGTGCAAAATACTGTAAATTACACACACAGCTAGTATCATGGTTTCAAAAACACAGTTTCTGTGGCAAAGAGATTTTTAGTATCTTAACTTTTACCTGTGTACTAAACTTTATCAGCACCATATATTGATTTGGAGTAGAGTCTCTGATGATTTTCATTTGTTCAATTACTTCATTAAATGGGGCGACAAACTTCATAAGGTCGTGACTGGTCATTGTAGCAGGGACTGTGAGAATACACAGCATGGCACTGCGCCTCACATCTTCTTTCAAGGAGGTCATCTTACTAATAAGACAATAATTAGACTGTCTTGAATAGGTGAGGTATGGTTAATTCACACAACACTAAACAACTCTTATGACCAAGAAAATAGGAAAAAAAAAACTTATATTTCACCAATCAATTTAAACAGACTATTATTTTACTGGAAAACCCACACTACATGGGTAAACACAAAATCCCTTAAACATATCTGCAGTGATATTTAAGGTAAGCTTCGAAATGTTTTACATCACACCCACCACCAAAATTTTTAATCTTCAGTTAAAGGCCTGATATGGTTACAATCTGCATTAGGCATTTTGCAGTTTGTGTCTTATTCTCATTAATTTGTTAAACATAATCTCTCATTATGTAATTTAGAAGCACAATTCTAAATATGGACTTCTCTAGAAAGTACCCTTCTCTATAGGAGAAAAGAGTACTGAATATAAGAAAGGGAATTCTGAACCATTCTGAAGATTACAGAAAGTGTTGCTGGGCTGGAATAGAGAGGGTAAAAACCTCCCACAAAGCAATTTGCTTTTGAATTGCTACCAACTCACTTCAGATAGCTGACTCCAAATGACTACCTGAGTATTCACTGTATCCTGGTAGGAATTTCACAAGTTAGGACAAGGGCGCAGCCTTTAAAGAGATCAGCTCCGCAATTATCCCAGGAGCTGATGGCCCAGTTTAAAGATTATGTAGCCAAACGCTTCCTTTGTTGTGGCCTCCTGAAAGCTTTGCTTGGACTACAGAAAGGTTAGAAAGAGGTGAAATTACAATCCATTACCTATTTTCTTAGTTTCTTTCAAAAAGATTCAGTGGGGATGTGAGGCTACTGTGATGTTATGGGTCATATTTTTTTTTCTGTCTTCTTTTCTTTCAATTTTCCAATCACCTTGCATGCCTGCCTTCTGAGGGAATATTTTCCTAGAAAGTCTATCTACACATTTCTTTCATAAGAAGCTCTAATCCAATCTGTAAGACTGATCAAATGTAAAACACTTAAGAATTTTCTAACACAATATAGAAAAGTACTCTTTTTGAAGCTTTAAAATAGCCACTTCCCTTCAGGACAAAAGATTTTTCTCTTCCCTAAAACAAAAACTGGACCAACTCACAAGGAAAATGACTTTTCTTACTTTGTCTTATATAGATGCATGATACCATGAACTATTTCAACTGATGGATTTCCACTGAAGAATGAAATCTGGTCTGGAAGCTGTTTGGATGGAGAATCGGGAGCAGCATTTATGCTTTCTTTACTTTGATCTTTACTTCTCTGTGCAGTGGAGGAAGCTTCTGAAGACTTTCTTTCTTCCACTGCAGCTTTCAGCTCATCTTTCACAAATCAAAAATTAGCAGGTTATAAATTGATAGGAAATATGCTTAAGGATTCTAAATAGATTAAAATTTTGAGTCAGAAGAATAAACCTTGACAGAGAAATTGTAATACATTCCATTAAAAACTATAGTGATAGAATAGCTGTGTTTTGGGTGCATCTCCAATTGAAAGTGCTCTTTGCTGCATAAAAATCTCATTACCACCCTCGGAAACTCAAGGATGCCTCTTCCGTTTGGCAGTGCCATATTAAAAGCACATACCTTACATCATGCACTTTTAAGTGGGACATTCAGGGCTGTTAAGTTTGAAAACGAAACCTATCAGTTCTGACCACCTCCATGCTGGATATGCAGTATACGTCCAGTCCCCAGGATGGAGTGAGCTGGCAGAACGGGAGGGACATACAGCATGCTTATCTGGATTCATTCATGATCTGTCACTGACCTAGGTGGTCAGCAGCTCTCCTCACTGATAAGAGTTGTCAACTCAGCTTGTTAGGGTTAGTTTAGGACAAATGTTTGGGAAGATGAAATGCGGCCTGACAATTTCATATAAGGCACAGTCAGTGAAAGAGAAAAGGATCCTAGAGGTCAACATCATGGGCTCATTGACCAACGTGAGTAAAGCAGACTACTAGAGACACATGTTACAAAAGAGTCTAGAGTTTTAGAGAGCATACCTGGGTTGGACTTCATAGTCTCAATGATCACATCTGTCATTTCTCGACGACCAAGATGCTGATGTATGATTGCTGCTTTCTCCCCTGGTGACTTCCCTTCTAAGCAGGCTGCAGCTGAAGCGAGTGTCTTCTTTTTGATCTCCTCATCAGACATTTCCCTGGCTGAAGAACACATGCATGATTAATGCCTGATAATAAAACGGGCTCGTCTCCACTCTGAGTATATCCATTGACGGGGTTCCCTTTTCTCTCTGCTGCTTTCCATCTCACCCACTTCTGGGGCTCCTGCCCCAGACAGTTGAGAAACACCCAGTGTAATAAGTTCGGAAATACAGGGCTGTTCTACTGAAATCATTCACTTTAAAGCAATTCAATGAGAGTAATAACTTAAAGAAGCTTTGACAGTGGTTACGTCCGGATGAACCAACCTTTCTGCAATACCTAGTGTGGTGCAACTGTGCGTTGAGCCCAAAATGAAGGTATCAAGTCACTACCATTAAGAAAACTTCCAATACCTTTGGGGGTAGTCTTCTTAAACACCCTGTGTTAGACTCATACAAATCTAGGACCACTGTCTTAAGTCAAAGAAACACACAAAAGCGAAAGGAATTTGGAGCCCCGACTGCACTACCCTTAATATAAAAGTTCTACCAGGGCGGAGACTAGACCTGTTTTGCCCACCACTAACTCCGCAGTGCCTACCTAGCACACCCTGGAAACTCTTTAAAGGTTCACTACATAAATGTCTGAATGCATCAATGACTCACCTCTGTAGAAGTGACTACGTGGCTAATGCAGATTTGGTTGGCTTTCAGAACTCAGAGATCACGTTTAGCCTTTGAAAAGGGCTTGTAACTCATCAAGTCATCTTCAATCTTTAATATGCAGCTCCAAAATTCATAGATTCTGGAAAGTTTCCAACACCGCCATCCCTACCTGCCTCAGTCCCTCTCCCCAAACCAAATGGAGCCTCTTGTAATAGTTTTCCAAACTGTCGCTTGTTTACCTTCACGGCACTTAGCCCAGTTGTAGTTCTACATTTATTCCATAATTAATTTACCTGTCTCTCCCAGTGAACTGCTAGCTCCACTACAGCAGGGGCCACGTCTGATTGTGCATGCAAACTAACGCTCCAGCAGATGGGGACCACTCGGTAAGTATTTCTTGAATGTTAAGAGTTAGGTAATTGTTTGAAATCCAAGGAACAGTCACAGCTGCATTCCCAACCTAAGGAGGCCATGTGGCTGCTAAGGAAGAATTCAAGACTCTCAAGTCCAGCTCTGGGTTAGAATCCCAGTCTCTCCACTTACATGTCCTCATGGGCAAGTCATGTAATCACTGGGTTTCAGTTTCCCAACCTGTGAAAAGGGATCCCCACCCATCCAACCTAAAAGAGCTTTTAAGATAAAAATAACGCACACAGGGCAGCACTGGCTTGTAGGAAGTGCACAAACGTTAGTTATAATCTTTACCATTATTGTGATACAAGGCGCCTAAATGAGTGTTTTTTTTCAAAGAGGAACGAGCTCGCTAAACCAGGGGCCCAGGGGCGGAAATCCAGCCCCTGTCTTCGCAAAGCTTGGAGAAAAGCTACTTACAAAACTCTACTCTGACCCAGGGCGGAGCCGCGACACGCCAGGTATAAACAGCGCTCCCTCGGTAGACGCCGGAGGGAGGGGCCCGGAAGGCCTTCGGAAAGGGAAAGCGGGGGGAGGGGGGGGACGGACCAACCCCCTCTCGGCTTCTTCTTGAGGCACGGGCCCTCGGGCGGTCTATCCCCGTGCGGCTCTTCTGGAGGACAGGTCCCCCCCGAGGCTCAGAAGCGGGCTACGGGGAAGGCGGCGGGACTCACCCGCGGCGTTGAAGCCGAAGCCGGCGGGGACGGGCGAGTGTTCCGCGAGCTCCAGTCGGATGACAACCAGTGACACACTCATAGGGCAGGCGCTGGCCGGCGCGGGCCCCGGCGGGCTCAGGAGAGGCTGGGAGGCGAGCTGGGAGGCCGAGCGGCCTGAGGCAAGTAGCGCCGCCACCACCTCAGCGCCGCCGCCGCTGCCGCCTCAACGGAGCAGCTCCTCTTACGACCCTCGGAGCCACAACAACCTCCACTTCCGCCTCCCGGCCGCCGTCGGTGACCCGCTCAGTTCCACCGGCGTGGACCGGCGCGCGCTGCGATTGGCTGGGTTGGCAGGCACGTGGCTGGCGTGGCGGCGTGGAGTTGGATCCGCCTGGACGCGCTGGCGACGAGGTTGCGAAGGAGGAAAATCGTGGGCGTTGCAGGCATTCCTTCCCCGGCATTAGGCCGATCGGTGGGTTTGCCCCTAGGGCCGAGTTAACTGGCTCGACAGGCACCACCTCGGCGCGGGGTCTGCGAATTGTCTGAGAGCTGTTGTCTCCTCTGGTCGTGATTGAGCACTAGCTGTAAGTCTAGGTAGGGTTGCTTTGTGTCAGTACCTCTTCACAGAGGTGGACGCCGAGACTTAGGTCAATCCACTTCTCCAAGGGCCCCTAGGATGAGCAGGGACTGGATTACAGTGATTTCGACTCCATTAAGCTGGGGCGGCGGGCTGGTTGAGCACAAAGTGCTAGAGATAGAGCTGGGTCCTGCTCCCTCGCTACATCTCTTCACAAATGTTTACTGAGAGCCTAGGGCATTGTTGGGGTGTTGGGGATATCTTGGTGAATAAGGTAAATACCCAGTTCCTGTTCTTAAGAAGTCGTCCTTGACCACCAGTTATATGACCTTGGTCTAGGTTTTGCGTCAAATTGGAGTAATAATACTCTCACACAGCTGTGAGGATGGAATGAATAGAGCCTTTGACTCTGTTGTACACATCAGTTTTTCTGAGATCCAGCATTCTTTCCAGTATGCCTTTAGCATATAGGTAGTCACGATCAATACATAGCGGCATATGCATGACCAGTGTGTGCTATTCTAGTAATGCTGTGATGTCTACATGTGTCACAGCACATCCTGGGCATGTGAAAGGTGTATAGACTATGTATACACACAGCACGAACATATGATGTATGTGTTTATATAAGTTGTGACTACTCTATGAAATGTGTTTCAGTATACACTTTATATCAGGATTTCTCAACGTCTTCACTAATGACACTTTGGGTTCTGATCATTATTCTGGGTATGTGTGTTTCCTATCCTTTATAAACTGTTTAGCAGCATCCCTGACTGACCCACTAGGTACCAGTGGCACTCCACTCCCCAAGTGATGGCGATCAAAATGTCTCCAGACATTGCGAAATGTCTCCTCGGGGTCAAAATTGCCCCTTGTTAATAAGTACTGGTTTATGTGAAAGTACGAATGCTGTATGCACACAGCACATGCATATGGCATGAGAACTCGTGTGAACATTTTATAGTATATTACAGCAGTAGATATAATAGTGTGCCAGGTACAACCTGTTTTACATACTTTACACTCATGTAATAGTAACAGTGACATTATGAGACAAGTACAATAATTGTTTCCATTTTACAAAGAAGGAGGCCGAGGCTCAGAGTAACTTGCTTAGGATTTCACACTTAGTAAGTGGCAGAACTAGAATTTGAACCCAAGCTATCTGGTTCCAGAGCCAACACTCAATCTGTTTACTAAAGCATCTTCTTAATGTGCAACTCAATGTGCGTGCCTACTTATGATAGCACAGTTTAGGTGGCAAATCTATATTTTACTAATTTCATTGTTTCTGGGAGGCAGAGAGAAGATAGGTATTCTTTACCACATAGAAGAAAGGTGCTGGTGTGAGCAAACTAGAACTGTAGCTACAGATGGACAGGTTGGTCTTGTTACAGTTCTTTGGGGCTGGCAACAACTAAACCTGTCTCCCAGTTTTCCTATTTTCTGATTCATCCAGACACCCTTCCACATCATTTATTCTGAGCATCTTCTATCAGTCTAGATACTGTGCTAAGCCCTAGGGGACAGAGATACGCAAAAATAAGATAACTCTTGCCTTAAGGAGTCTACCATAATAGGAGCAGATAGACATGAAAACAATACTGTGCAGTGGGGTGACTTCTAGTGAAGGGATGGAGAAAAAGCAATGGGAATTAAAAAAAAAAAAGAAGTAACAGTGCGCCTGGAAAAGGAAGGAAAAGCCTCTCCACAGCGGGGAAGCTGAGGCTGTCGTGTAAAAGTGAATGGAAGTTCACAGGCTGATAAAACAGGGAGAGGTGGTTCAGTCAGTAGACATGGCAGGTACCATGGCCTGGAGATAGGAGAAATCACAGCGTTTTCCGTCTCCGAAGGAAGTATTGGGAAGCGGCTAGAATGGACTGGTTGTCTCTAAATGGAAAGAATAAGCAGGCTAGTCACGGGAGCCTTGCCCACACGTCCATTAGTGGGAGTATGTGGAAGACAGTGTCGTCTGTGAGGACAAAGGCTAGTCCCTGAGGCCCCAGAGACACTTTTCATCTCTGTTAAGCCCTCACACAAAATGTGTTGGTTACTTTAGGAACCTATAAATAAATTTCTCCTTCCATTATAAACTTTGGCCTTGGCATTGGAACATAAGTAAAACTGAAAATGCACATCAACCTCTATATTTTTCATTTCAAAATTCACTCCCCAATTCAGCAAATTTCCAATTATGTGACTAACACAGTATATCATCTTGAAGATTTACTATTTAAGAATCTTTTCTTCAGATTCTTGGTTTATTGCATCCTTAGGGTAGCACTGACACGACTCATAAACTTGTAGGTTCTCTTACCAACCTGTTTCTCTCTAACCCGATTTTCAGTAAGTTTTCAGCTACAGAAATCACATAAAAAACTTAGATTTTCATGAGGAACTGACTGCAAATAGAGTTTGTTTTAATTATTTTGTCCTCCCCATCCCCCCCACTTTTTATCTCAGACCTATAGAAAAGTTTAAATAGTGTAAGATCTCTCGATACCTTTCGTCATATAACTTTTCACCTAAATTGATGAGTTATTCATGTTTTGCCACATTTGATTGGTCTCTACACTTATCCATGGGTATATATCTGTGTGTGTGTGTGTGTGTGTGTGTGTGTGTTATGTGTATATGCTTGTTTTTTTCTGAGCCTTTTGAAAGTAAGTTTGGGCAAGAGGCAACGGAGAACAGTTAGGGAGCTATTGCAGCCACCTGAAAGGGGTGACAGTGTGATGGTGGCATCGTAAGCGCTAGGAGGAGGTAACTGCAGGGCATCTGAGGAATATACAGCAGAGACTCCTCATCAGTCTTTTTTGGTAGCCAGAGAGGTTTGAGGAAGGAGATGACACGTAAGGTATGACCTAAAGGACGACTTGGAATTGGCCAGGCCACCAATGGAAGGCAGCATCCCAAGCCAAGGGAGGAGCATATGAAAGGCTTGGGAGCAGGAGGAGAACGTTGCTTGAGGAAGCTGCATGTAGATTTGTGGGTCTAGGTCATCCAGGTTAATGTGTAAAAACTGGGGGAGGCAGGTCCTATAGGGCTTTTTAAGTCAGGTTAAGGAAGTTTATTTTGTTGGCAGTGGAGAGCCCTGAAGTTTTTAAATGAGGTCAGGATGTGGTCGAATTTATACTTTTGAGAGATTACGCAGGCTGAAGAGTGAAGAAAAAAAGGGAAGGAGGTTCTTCAAGGCAAGGGGATGATTTCGGGGGCTATTGAAATGATCTGTGGGTGAGATACTGGCAGTGAGAATGGAGGGAGATCATGGAGATTTGAGGAGGAGCTGATAGCCCTGAGCAACTGGAGTTGATTGCTGGGTGGAGGACTAAGGGAAGGTAGGGGCCAACTCCACGGTGTTCTAGCATGGGGAGCTAGGTGAATGGTAGAGCCCTTTGCTGAGGTAAGGGAACCCAGGGAAAAAGAGCAGTCGGAAGGGCAAAGATAGAGCTCAGTTCTGGAAGTGGTTTGGAGTGTTTGTCGGAGATCAGTGGGGACGTCCAATCGACAGCCCTGAGCTCCAGGGCTGAGGTCTGGACCGGAGGTGGTGAAGGCAAACTGCCCTGTGCCTTCTTATGCAGCTTTGGCCTCAACATGCACGTAGCACGCCTTTTCCAGTCCTCAAGTCTCCAGTGGGCTTGGAGGGCAGCCTTCCTGAAACACAACCAGCGTGGGCCCCAGGGAGCCTGGCGGTGGACACATTCTGGAGGCAGTCCCTACAGAGCAGTCATTTTTGACATGGATGGAGTTCTCATTCCTTCTTCAGGGAGACTGGCTGCAGGTGAGCTTTTCCTATCTCACTTGCAGAGACGGGGTGGGGGTGGGGGGAAATGGAGGGCGGTGAGGGGAGACAGAGGGGAACGCTGGGGCAGCACTGTGTCCCAGTGGGTAATATTCTGACTCTTGAATCAAATTCCAGCCACCACTCAGTGGCTGATGATGTTGGGCAAATTATTCAACTTCTCTGAGTCTTACCTTCCTCATAATTAAGTCAGAGGTAATAATAGTACCCACCTCTTTGGGGCTTGAGGAGAGTGAAAGGAGGTGGCCCACAGCGAGTGTTCAGCTCACCTAAAATTGCGTGGGATTGAACCACCTTTCCCTGAGAGCCGGCCGCTTCTGCAGTCTTGAATGCTGAACCCCTGCGCTTGGATCACAGCTTTCCCTCTTCCACCAACCTCCCGCTAAACCCGCCAGAGAAACCTCCAGTTTCCGATCCTGTCTTTGTCAGCCCCTCCTGGTTTTACCCTTTTTCCTGCTTAGTTTAACTGACTTCACTTTGACTAGTTTTGGCTCGAGGCTTTAGAAAACCTAACAAAACAGTGACCGAAACAAGATGAGGTTTATTTCTTGTGCACGTGAAAGCCCAGGTACGGAGCTAGTGTGCAGCTCTGTGACATCAGGACTCAGGCTCTTTCCATTGTGCTGCTCTGCTGTGAGTTCTGCCCTGGCTGCTTCGCTTGCTGCCATTGCATTCTCATCCCAGCCATCAGGAAGGAAAAAGGGCCAAACAGCTGACCCTCTCATTTTGACCTGCCGTGGCGGCTGGTTGGGCAATTCTCCATGCTAAATTAACTCCAGTGCAGGTTTTCTGTGCTCCTGGGTAAAAAATGGCCCAGCTGTGCAGACTGGCTAAGAGCGATTTTTTGTTGTTGTTCAGAGTAGCTGGGCTCTCAGCTTCTCTATTCCTCTACTCATATTCCTCTCACTTTTACTACAGGCCTGTTCCAAACCCCCCAGGAGTCACCATACTGCCCCACCCCAAGCATTCCTGCCTGGCAGACAGAGAGCATAAAGGTCACTGGGCAGGAATCTTCTCTAGAATATCTCGAGAACCCATTTGCTTCTCTCCACTCCTACTGCCTCGACCCCTTTATATCCCTGTTTCTTAGTTAGTGCTGAAATTGTGTCACATGCAAAGGTGAATGTCCTGCGGCCACTTCCACCCCTTCCTGGTGGTTTCAGCCTTCACTCGTTTTCACTGTGAAAACCTTCTTGTTTATCCTTCAAAAAATTACATATAGCCCTGGCTGGTGTAGCTCAGTGGATAGAGCACAGGCCTGCAAACCAAAGGATTGCGGTTTGATTCCCAGTCAGGGCACATGCCTGGGTTGCAGGCCAATTTCCAGGAGGGGACGCACGAGAGGCAACCATATATTGATATTTCTCTCCCTCTGTCCTTCCCTTCCCCTCTAAAGGTAAATAAATAAAATCTTTAAAAAATTACATACATGTCTGTGTGTAACTAAGTGTGTATATACACACCCACAAAGGTATGTCTATGTATGTTTGTGTGACGTGTGTATACACAAATGCCAAATTGGATCACACTCCACAGACACTTCCATACCTTTCCTTTTTGGACTCGGTAGATTACCTCAGCACCTTTTTCACATCACTAGGCACAGGTACAGCTCAGGGGTCAGCAAACCCTTTAAATAAAGGGCTAGCCAGGCTTTGCAAGCCCTGTGGCTCTGCCACAACTCTTCAGCTCTACTGCTGCAGGGAGAAAGCAGCAATGGACAGCAGGGAAGGACCAGGTGTGATGGTGTCCCAACAAAACTTTTTCTGCAAAGACAGAGGGGAGACAGATGTGGCCCCTGTGCCGTATTTTGCTGACCTGTGGTCTAGTTTATACATCTTCACATCTGTGTGCTAGTTCGTTAGATGGATCTACCAGAGTTGATTTAACTAGCTCTTTATTAATATGTTTATGTTTCTGGTTCTTTTTAGAGTATTTTATTTATTTATTTTTAGAGAGAGGGGAAGAGAGAGGAAGAAAGGGTGAGAAACATTGATCGGTTGCCTCTTGCACGCACCTTGGCAAACCAGCGACCTTTCGCTCTGTGGGACGATGCCCAACCAGCTCAGCCAGCCATACTGGTCAGGGCTCTAGTTCTTTTTATTACAGGCAGTTCTGCACAAACATACTGTACGTAACCTTTGCTTACTTTTATAAATATTTGTGTGGGAGAGAGTCTTAGAAGTGGAATCACTGCATCAAATGCATGCACATTTAACATTGTGCTCCCCACTGAGGCTGTACTCATCCCCACTCCTGCCGGCAGCACGGGGGCGTGCCAGCTTCCTCAGGTGCTTGCCAACTGGGAGACCTTGAGAGATGCTGTACCCTTTGGTTCTAAAATTAAAGAAGTATTCCTATTTGGAATGGGCTTTAAAAGCCTTGCTGTCCTCAGACGACACACTCCAAATTGGTAACGTTGGTAATCTCTAAGAATGGGACTGCTTGTTGTTTTAGTTTCTTTTTATGACTTTCTATTTTGTCTGAAACATTTTCGATGTGTAGTCACTACTTGATCAGAACAAAAGATATGTGTAAGTTATATTATGTCTTAGATATAATTATGAATGTGTTATAATTATGAATGTGTTATATGTAATTATGAATGTGTTAAATATATATATATATATATATATATATATATTTGCCCCATAGCAGATGCATATAGGAAAAAAGCACCCTTGAACAAGAAAAAGCAAGCCCTGTCCAGATGTTTCCAGTATATACAAGTGCCAGTCCACCCACTGCCTTAGCTCTTTGAGAGAGGCATTTTCTCCTTTATTCCACAAAGACAGCAACCCTCTAGTGAAGGTTTCAGTGTACCCGCTATGCAGCTGTAAAGGATTCCTACAGTTTACCAAATGGAGGGCTTGTTCTGAGTGCTGTCAGAATCTGGCTTATTACCACATGTCCTCCCCTCCTGTGTGGCCAGGACTGTGTGTGTGACCTAATATGTCTGAGCCGCCTAATGAGAAACCCGGGAAGAGAATGTATAATGTGGCACCCGGTGTCATCTCAGGCAGGTGGTCAGGACGTGAGGCTCCGCAGCAGTGTCCGCTCAGGCACACAGATTAGTACTGCTGCTCCCTCGCAGATCGAAGGCTGAGATCCGCGTTTCCAGAATTTCTCCCAGTTCCCAGCAGAGCCCACTTGGCACCACAGTGATGGCACAGGAGCTGGTGTGGCAGTTCCCCTGACTCCCTCAACTGCAGCCGTTTGTTCACGGATGTCAGCTGTCGCACCTTTTACTTCCCCTAGGATGGGAGGTACAGAATCACATCCCTTCCGGAACTATCCTGAAGGCCTTCATCTCAGGTGGTGAAAATGGGCCCTGGATGAAATTTATGAGAGGAGAGATGACAATAGAGACCTTCTTACAAGAATTTGGGAGACTCTGCTCTGAAACTGTGAGTGATAAACATGTTTGAATTTCCATAATTCTTCTTGCCTAACACTCATCCATATTTATTAAACTGCAAATAAAGAAGTAAAAATCTAATCATTATCAATTTTAAGCTATTTCTTCCATCCCCAGGCACCCAACTTCAACTGCATATATGAATAAGTAAAAATACTCCATTACTAAACCTCCAATCAGCTATTGTTCATCTCAAACAGGAGCTGTTTGCACCATGGCTTTGATCGGAAAGCTTACTTAAGCAATCGTGCTGTCGAGCCTTTTCTCTGCGCTGTGTGTTTTTCTAAGGCCTCTATATGAACTCATGTGACCTCCACAATAACTGCTAAAATGCAATGAGAACACAGTAAATGAAGCCCTGTGGATGGACAGTAAAGATGGCTGCACAACTGCTGCACTTAGTGACATTCAACTGTTCACATGACGTGGTTAGAACAGTCATAACTTGTTATGTGTGTTCTACCACAATTGCACATATATACATATATATATCTCTCTCTTTGAAAACATGATGCTAAGTAAGAAAAAAGCCAGTTGAAAAAGACCAGTAAAAAAAAAAGCCAGTCGAAAAAGACCAGAGATTGTGTGGTTCCATTTATATGAACTGTCCCAAAGAGGTACATCTGTAAGATACAGAAAGTAGGTTAGTGATTTGCTTGGACTGGGAGTATTGCGGGTGTGGGGGAGGGAGTGGGGAGTGCCTGCTGATGGGTAAGGGGTTTCTTTGTAGGTTGGCGACAATGTTCTAAATATGTTTGTGGTCATGGTTGTACAACTTGTGAATATATTAAAAGCCATTGAATTGTATGGTTTAAATGGGTGAGTTATATGTGAATTGTATTTCATTGAAGTTATTGTAAAATGTGTGTGTGTATAAAATAGCAGACTTGCCTGTGCAGATTTTAAAGCATGATAAAATGAGAGTTTTCAAATCCCACACAGATTGAATTTTTAAAAAATTGATCAGAAACTGAAGTTCATAATGGTGATGCTGAGGCAACACAAGACCATTAAGTGCCTTCTGGATCACTAAAAATTCAATTACATCTACTTAATACACTTTTAGAGTTTAATGCATCCTCTTTTGGTATCCTGCTACTTTTTAAAATTGACAACCCATGAGTGAAATAAAGAACTCCTTTAACTGGAGTACTGATATAAATAGCTCCATTCACTAACCATTGTAACTCAAATTGTGAGTCATTTTTTTGTCACCTTATATGCAAAGTTCTGCAGATGGCTGAGGGAGAGGATTTCTTTAGGCAGCAAGCCAAAGGCCCCGGCTTTTACAGCCCCGTAGCCCAGTAGCAACAGGAAGCTGGGGATATGTCTATGTCTTTTTCTCTGTGGGTGATTTTACTCTGAATGTTGCTTGCTCTCCCCTCCCCTCCCCCTTAGGCAGAGTCCCGTGTGCCCGTGGGCTCCTTTTTCTCTCTGCTGACCAGCGAGCAAGTGGCGAAGCAGTTCCCGGTGATGACTGAGGCCATAACTCAAATTCGGGCAAAAGGACTTAAGACTGCAGTCTTGAGCAATAACTTTTATCTTTCCAATGGCCAAAGCTTTTTGCCTCTGGACCGGAAACAGTTTGATGTGGTAAGTCTGAAGTGATCCAAAACAATAATCAAAACAGTCTGTTCTTGCTGCAACATTTAGCACTGCCTTGTAGCAGGTCTTGAGTGGTGGGTATTTTTATTCAGACACTTTACCAAGTTAGGTCGATACATAACAGGTTGAAAAGAGGACTTTTAAAATGTCACTGAGCTCTTGGCAAAGTCACACATTATGGGATTTGGTAAGTGGTTGAAGCCTCAGCTTTAGAGACTTCCTCACATTCTGGGTATGAACCGTAGTGGTCACGTAACATACACACCTCCATCAGCCCTCTTAATGTGCCCTTGGACCTTTCTCTTCAAAGACCAACCGTGTTGCCCTGTGTTTCTGTGGTATCAGTCCTTAGACTGGCGCTGTCCAGTGCAGCTGACTCCAGTAAGAGGGATGTCCGACATGGTCACTGCTAGTCACATAGGGCCATTAAGCACTTGATATGTGGCCAACATCCTTGAGGAACTAAATTGTATTTCCTCTTAATTAGTTTCAATATAAATAATCCCACATGGCTAGTAGCTGTTGCAATAGACAGTGCACCCAGCGCCAGACCATCACAGCGCCAGGAGGTTACATCTGTGAAGGATTCCCTGTTTTCCTAAGAGAAGACAGGTTGTTATCTTGGGATGCATATAGATTATTGATAGATGGATTGCTTAAACTGAAAATGGATTCTTACTGAGCAGTTACTATGTGCCGGGGGCACTGGCTGTGTGTGAAGGGACACTGTAACGTGACAGCCACTATCCCCACTCTCTGGAATATGCACTTACTGTATTTCAAGTGCTCAGTCACCACCTGAGGCCCGTGGTTACTATATTGAAGAGACAGCATTTCCATCCCTGTTGAAAGTTCCATTGGATCGTGCTATTTTAGAACATAAAATCCAGTCAAATTGACAGGCAGAAATTCAGAACACAGGTGTTGGAAATCAACCTCCTCACCTAATGCTGCTCCCGCTCCTCCCTCCTCCCTCTCCTCGCGAGAGGGCTGGCAGAGGTAGAGCTCTGCCCTCTGGACACTGCCTGGCTCCTTACCTGCTTCGACTGTTGGTTTCCCCACTCATCCACAATGCGGCCCTCCTCCAAGCTCCCTCCCCTGTGAGTGCTCAGGGACCTCGTCCAGAATCCAGTCCTGTGTCTGCCACCTCATTTTTCTCACCTGCAATACAGGAAGAGCGATGCCTTTGTTGTAGGGCAGCTGTGTAGATCCCAGAAAATAATGCATGCAAAGCGCTCAGCACAGTGCCTCAGCACAGAGGTTCCTTCCACCGAGTGTGGCTCCAGGGAGGATACCTGTGTCTGGACGAATTAAGTTGGCCAGGCTCACATTGGGCTCTTCCACTGGAAGCTACAATCTGAAAGATCTGTGAACTAACTTAAAACAATGGACTTGTTTGTTCAGACCTCCCAGGCCCTCTGGCGCATGCTTCCCAGCTGCTTTTTGGCTGGTTTTCATATTTCAGGTCTGTAGGATACCTGGAGTTTTGAAAATCCATGTCTTCAAGAACAAGGATTTAGGTGTTTGTTCTCCAAAGCTACAAGGCAGGAGAACATTTTTTTTGATAGAGTTAAAGATAGGGCGGCTGCTTCCATGGCCTCTGTCAACACTGGAGGCTGTCCCCAAACTCTTCAGCTGATACTACAGGAACCTGTCTCTGCTGAGATGCATGTGGCTTTTGGAAAAAATGCCCTCTAGCTCTGGCCGGTGTGACTTAGTTGGTTGGAGTGTTGTCCAAAAGGTCGTGGATTTGACTCCTGTTCTAGGCACATACTTAGATTGTGGGCCCGCCCCCCAGGTTGTGTGTGGGGACCCCGGTTGGGGCGCACATGGGGGGGGCAGCTGTTTGATGTTTCTCTCATGTCTGTGCTTCTCTCTCGCCCTGCTTTCTCTCGCTCTAAAAAGAAAAATGTCCATAAAAATATTTTTTAAATTTCACCTAATTTTCTACATTATTTCTTATTGTTAAAAGAACACCTTCCATAAAATTCACCATCTTATGTATTTTCAAGTGTATAGTCCAGTAGTGTTAAGTGTATTCACACTGTCGTAAAACAAATCAGAACTTTTTTATCCTGTAAGGTAGAACAGAAAGAGAAGGGGAGGGATTTCCTCAAACTCAAATCTTAAGAATTTTTTTACTTCGCCCCAAATGTAACTACGTATGAGAAGAGATATCTGCTCGCCAGAACTCGGCCCCATTCCCTGGGCTGTGTGCCCTCTCTCTTCTTGTCTCAGCCAGTACTGCTATGTGGCTTCCCTGCAGCGTGACCCATTGATCAGTGTCGGAAACACCTGGTGTCTCTGCCACCTGCTACTGACGTTTTCTTTAGAAGGAGCTTCTTGGTCTTTTTAGCTCATTCAGGTCCTTAGGAGACCAGGAAGAGAGGTCCCATTTTCTCAGGACATTTATTTACCGGAAAGGACAGGTCTCGGCCAACCTTCAGTAATGCCACTGTGGAGCAGAGGGAGGAGCCCTCAGGTTTGTCCTTGGACTTGGAGACTGTGGGTCATTCTAGAAATGAGTCAGGGATTTAGTTCTATGCTTAGGGCAGACCAGAGGCTATTGGTGGTGGCCTCTATGGACCTCTGAGGCTCACTTTCTAGGAGATTCAGCCCTGGGACAGTATAAGAGGGGACTCCCAGCAGGGTGCTGGGTCAGAGAGAGCCTGACACTGAGACGGCTTTTTCTGGGGTCTCCTGGACCCTCAGCAGCCACACTGGTCCCAGGTTAGATACACAGTGGGAGCAAGGCTGTCAGGATACAGGAGGCTCTTTACAAGAAAGCAAGTGCCTTTGGTCCCAATGGTCTCTTTGGTGTCAGCCCTCCTGTGGGATTTATCTGTATAAATTGAGTATGGCTGTTTTTTAACTTCTGAAGTATAGACATTAAAGGCCTGGGTCTTTTGTGACCGTAACCAGTGCCTTCTTTCTGGAAAAATGGTGAAATACTGTCCCTAAAACTGAAACATACAACTTTCCTTCTGCTCAGCGTAGGCGCAATATCTAACGTTAGCAAAATGCTTTGTCATTTTGGAACTCATTCAGGTTTAAGTTTCGCAACAACCACTAGGATAGGTAAGATGGCTATTAGTTTTCCCACTTTCCCGATGATGAAACTTGAGGCCTGTTGTGGCTTTGCTGTTTGCACAAGGTCACCGTATCTGACCAGAACTTCAGTTTTCTGAGTTGGCCCCCAGGTTTAATCCCAAATGTTCAGCTCAATTTACAAAAGCAACGGCATTTTCCAGCAAAATACTCTCGAGTTACTTGTTCTAACAGATCTCAGCTGTCTTCCTCCTGTTCTTTAAAAAACACAGCAGCGTGCCTGTGGGAGCACCGCTTTCAGGGCCATTTCTCTCCCATCCCTGTCCCTCCCTCAGGTTGTGGAGTCCTGTCTGGAAGGTGTCTGTAAGCCGGACCCCAGGATATACAAGCTGTGCTTGGAGCGGCTCGGCCTGCAGCCTTCCGAGTCCATCTTTCTCGATGACCTTGGGCAGGACCTCCAAGTGGCTGCCAGCCTGGGTATGCACACCATCAAGGTAACGGCCACTGCCCTTTGAAGCCCTGCTGCGCCCCAGGCACAGAGCGTCTCTGTGCAGTCCTCTCTCGTTCATAGTTGTGGCTGCCTGTGGTGCTGTTCCCCATGTTGCCATAGCCTATTTGTTTTTTAATTCTGAAATCTGTGTGACTGGCCGCTTGCATTTTTGATGGGAAGTGAGACAAATGTGTATCGAGAAGGCAGTTTGAGGTACACAGCAGGTGAGTGGCAGGCTGCAGATGTTTGGGACGGCAGTCACAGGCTGTCCTAGCGACGGTCTTCTGAGTGGGGAGCCAGCAGCCACCAGCCCCACAGTCCAGTCCAGGGCGTGGCCGAGAAGCATGAGAAGCCATGGGAGGGGGTTCTTGGTCCAGCTTTGCACAACTGGGTTTTCCTTTCGAAGCTGACGGGCTCATAGAGACAGAGTGGATGCTGTAGCACAGTATTCTTCCCTCCTGGCATGAGGGAGGATTGTGGACTCTGAACCAGAACTCTGCCTTGCAGACAGAAAGTTTAATGTGTTTTAGAATTAAATGGAAAGAGGAAACTTGTTGTATGGCTCCCTCATTAACTGAATATCCTGACTTCAAAGTCCTTGCCCAGACAACTCAGTTCTTAGATGTTTCCTTCTAAAAGTTACCATCTTAGAAAACAGACAGGAGGAGAGGTCAAGGATGACTGGTAGCATGTTCAATATTTTCTTTGAAACCAGGTTAATGACCCAGAGGCTGCAGTAAAGGAATTAGAAACTCTTTTGGGTTTTACCTTGAGAACTGTTGTTCCAAACACTCATCCTGTGAGAAACACAATGGAAATTCCCAAAGATTCCTTGGAGAAGTACCTCAAAGACTTGCTGGGGACCCAAACCACAGGTATTTGAGTTTTTGTATTTTGGTAACTCCTTCCAAGGCCAGGCTTTTGGGCTGGTTCTCACTTTCAAAGCAACCCGAGTGCAATGTGCCGGAGCCAAAGAGGCAGTGTGGTAAGGAAGACGGCTGCTGAGCCTGGCGGCTGTCAGTGCTGCTGTCAGTTCTGCCTGGGAAGAAGCACTCACCTCCTCCTCTGTGCACCCTCCAGAGTGCACTTGCCCGCCCTTCCCTGGAGCGGGACGTGCCATGTGGCCGCCGCCTGCAAACAGCTGTCAGGGAGGAGAGGAACTGGGGGCTGTAGAACATGCCTGGGGGTGCTGGAAGTTTCTGGGTTTGTTTGTTTGATTTTTTTTTTTGAGGTGACAGCTTGTTTGTGAAGGTGACTCAAAAGTTATATAATATAAAATGTGACAGGCTGTCTACATCTCTTCAGAGGTCCCACCCTTCTCCACATTCCACCCTCAGAAAGACAGGTGCCTCGTGAGCTTTTGAAGACACTTCTACCTGGTGACCGAGTTTTGCCTCACCCAGTTCTTGAAAGGTCCTTGAAATGGCTCTGTGTGGGACTTCACGCTATGATGTGTTCCAGTGACTGGCGCATTCTCAGCGCCTCTGCAGGTGGAGGGTCCCTTGCTCCCACCCAAGTGGTAGCCAGGCCTGACCCTGCCAAGCCTCTGAGATCAGATGAGAGCTGGCATGTTCAGGGCCGTGCGGCCGTAGATGGAGGGGCCCCTGCTGACCGAGCTGGATAACTCAGGCAAACTACCATTTCTGGCTCTTCTGATCAAGTGAAACAAATCTGTGTCCAGAGTTCAGTCTTATTATGAAGCCGAGGGCTAATTAGGATGTTTCTGCAGAAAAGACAAAGAGTTCAGCCTGCGGGGGTGGGGAATTGCATCTCATGAAAGCCACTTTGGCTCAAGCTGTAGGCCGCTGCTTAGCTCCTTTCAGCTGTCACCGCAGTGTCAGGCGTGGTTTGGCTGAGCGTGGGCTGAGGGACGCACAAGGGAACTTTTCATCCTCAGGCTTAAAGCATTCCGGTAGCAAGATGGGTTGCCATGGTTGTGCTTGTGGTTGACAAACAAAACCCAAAAGCTCTTCTTCACAGAGTAGAGTTGGCCAGAAGGACAAAATTGGACACCATAAAAGTGGGAGTATCTTTGTGGTGTAAATCCAGTGGCCTTGCCACAGTGGAGTGGCATGTGACTCAACCCAAGCTGGCGGAGTGCGGTGCCATTCCTACAGGGCACCCCAAATGCTGAACGCGTTGGGAAAAGAGAATGTCTTTCCAGTCTGTCCTTCAGAATGGGTTTGAGTTTTCTTTGTTTTCCAACTCGCAGGCCCATTGGAACTCCTTCAGTTTGATCACGGGCAGTCAAGTCAAACTTACTACATCAGGCTGGCTGACCAGCAGCTGGTTCTGAGGAGGAAAACCCCAGGGACACTCCTTCCAGCCGCCCACGCGTTAGAGAGGGAATTCAGGTAAGTTCTCAGGGCCTGGGGCGCCCTCGCCCGTTCGGCCTCCGGAGCTCAGCCCCTAAGCTGACAAGTCAGTACTCCCACGAATGCCTTGAGACGTTTAAAACCGCGAGTGTGACTCTCCCAAGTTACTTCAAGTAAGAACATGTAGCCTAATTTTATTCATAAGTTTGTTTTCTGTACAAAAACCTGTAGGAGACTGGACATTTTTAGAACTTCTAGATGAAAAAAGGCATTATTAAGACACTCTTTAGCCTTACCTTTTAGTCTTAAAGACTAAGACCTTAAGTCTTAAAATCAATATATATATTTTAAAGGGTTTATTTTTAGAGAGGGGAAGGGAGGGAGAAAGAGAGGGAAAGAAACATTGATTGGTTGCCTCTCACGTGCCCCCAATCAGGGATCGGGCCCACAACCCAGGCTTGTGCCTTGACCAGGAATCAAACCAGCGACCTTTCTCTCCACAGGACGATGCTCAGCCAACTGAACCCTGTGGGTCAGGGCAAAATCAATATATTAGCAGGGCTACAGCCCAACAGTTGTGGCCATGAATGGGTGATGAATACATGGGCTTTCTAATACAAATGTCTCTACTTACATATGTTTGAAATGTTCCATAATAAAATGTTTAAAAGAATAAATGTGTTACAACTCATCCCAAATAAAATCGCTTGCTTTGCAAACAGGAAAATGTAAACAGGGGAGATTTAAATGAAACTACCTCTAAATCTCTTGGAGAATGAGTGCTGAAGAAAGGCATGGGCTCCGGGTGGGGCCTGCACTCCTGGAAGACTCCCTGCTCCTCCTCCCCCTCCTTCTAGGCCGCCATTGCTCTGCAGAAGGGAAGCTGTGGATAGCAGTGAGGACAAGGCGATTTTGGCTCCGGGGCCCTTCTCCCTCTTTCTGTTTACTGTCTCTGCTCTGGGCTTTTTGGCTCTTGAAATCTGTCTTCTGCAAATGTTGCAGAAGCTGATGACTGACAATTATGAAGCGCCAGGGGTTCAAGAGAAGAGAAAACCTGTAGCCTTTTCTGAGCATCTGTGTGTGTGTCATGCAGAAGCGGTGTGTATTTATAGGAGAGGGCCCTACAATGTAAAACCAGCACTCCGCCTCATGCGTCCGGCTTGTGAGCTTCCTCTGTCATTCCCAGAGGCACAGGCATTCTGGAGTGCTGAGTGACATTCCACAACTCCTGGAACGCACAGAATTTCCTGCTAGTAAAGGAATAAAATGTGCATCTGAAAGTGAAACCTAGTATGGTATCTGCTTATAAAATGCCAAATGTAAATTTGAACCGTTTTGGAGAACAGTGTGGCACGATGTATTAAAACCTCAGAGTAGCCCTGGCTGGTGTGGCTCAGTGGACTGAACGTGAGCCTGCGAACCAAAGGATTGCGGTTCGATTCCCAGTCAGGGCACATGCCTGGGTTGCAGGCCGGTTCCCAGCAGGGGATGCATGAAAAGCAACCATACATTGATATTTCTCTCCCTCTCTCCTTCCCTTCCCCTCTAATGATAAATAAATAAAATCTTAAAAACAAAAAACCTCAGAGTAGTCATACTTTTAGACCTAATAATTCCATTCAGAAGGTCTCTCTTTAAAAAATAATTCTAAATAGGGAAGAAAGCTGTAATCATGAATATGCTCACCATACTGTTGTTTATAGTAAAAAATTGGAAACACTCTAAAGTTATAAGAATTGGGAATTGCTTACGTAAACCTTGGTAGATCTACTTGTGGCAACGACAATAATAGTAATAGCTAACATTTACTGAGTATCACTCTGTGCCAGGAACTATAATAAATGCTTTGAATTGTTAACTCAAAGCATTTTCACAGGCCCATGATGTGCTACTACTATGACCCCCATTTTACAGATGAGGAGACTGAGACTTACAGAGGTGTGTGAGTGATGGGGTCTGGCTTAATGCGCATGGGCAGTGGGATTCCATAGCCCAGCCTTAATGATTATACTATTATTGCAGCCAATAAAAGTATGCCTGTAATAACATAACAATGCATGTGGTAAAATTTTAATGTAATAAAAACAGATACAAGCCATATATAGAGTATTATATTAACTGTTTTTTAAGACTTATGCATGGAAACAAAAATTAAAGGAACAGACCACCATGTTCACCCGGTCATGTTGGGTAGCATGTTAATAATGTTCTTCAGTTGCATGGGACAGAAGCCCACCTACGGACTTAAGCATAAAAATAAGAAGGGGAGGTGGTAAAATTTATTGGCTTTGTCACTGAAATCTTGCAGGCATGGCTGGATCCAGGAGTCCAAATAATGTCATCAGGACCCATTCATTCTCTCTCATCATCTCTTAACTTTCCTAGATAACCCAGGATCTTTCCAGGTGCCCCTGAGTTTGACTCATTTGCCCAACATGGGTCACAGGTTTGTCCCTGGACAAACCCGCCTCTTCAGTCAGGAGGATGCTTTGTTCGACTGGCCGTCTCTGGGTTTGAGGCCCATTCCTGGGACCAGGGGTCGGGTCAGTCAGTCCCTGCAAACCAGAAGGACCTACAGTGGGGGAGAGCTGTTCCCCAAAGGAAAATCTAGGTCTTGTGATCAGAATGGTGACGTGATGAAAGGAAACCAGGCAGTCAAAAGAAGAAGCCAGTTACTGGTGATAAGACTGTTTTCCTGTTTAAAAAGTTTTACGAGTTTCATCCTTACATGTTTCAGAGAATTTGCCAGTAAAGCCACTGGGGCCTGGAGTTTTCTTTAAGAAAAGGTTTTTGACTATGAATTTAGCTTAATAAATATTAGAGTTTTTAAGTGTTTCTTAGTTTCTCTTGAGTCCTTCTTTGGCCCATGTCTCATATGAAAGTATTATTTAATTTCCAAATACTTGGGCTTTCTTCCTGATTATTAATGTATTTACACCAGCTTTCTTATGCTTACCAATTGCATGGTACTTCCCCTTCCATCCATTTTCTCTTACTTATCTTTTCTCTATCTTTGTTTTTATATTTAAAGAATGTCTTTTATAAACAGCACATGGTTAGAGCATGCTTTAATATCCAGTGTGACAATTTCTGTCTTCTAATTGGAATGTTTAGTGTACTCAATTTAATATAATTATTGAGATGCTTGATGGTCTATAATTTCACTATTTTTTTTGTTTGTTTCATCTATTTTTAGTTCTTACCTACTTTTGAGTCAAGTGAATATTTTTTAGAATTACATTTTAATTTCTGCATGCACTAATTTTTAAATCAGAAAAATAATCATCAGAAAGCCTCATCAGTCCAGGCCATGTAGCTCAGTTAGTTAGAGCGTCATCCCAAGACACCAAGGTTATGGGTTCGATCACTGGTCAGGGCACATGCAAGAAGCAACCAATGAATATGCGTATGCAAATTGAGCAGCAAATCCATGTTTGTCTCTCTGTCTCTAAAAGTCAGTTAATTTAAAAAAGCAGAAGGAAAGTCTCACCAGCTCACCCAGCAGTGATGCTCATCTCCCTCTGCTCCGCAGGGTAACGAAGGCCCTGGCAGAGGCTGGAGTGCCTGTCCCCAGAGTTCTCGACCTCTGCAAGGATTCAAGGTAACGTTCAGGTCGACATGTTCCCTTGCATATTCAAGCTCCATAAAAGCCAATAATACGCTAAGTCCGATTCCAGTCTGTCACAGTAAAGACAAATTTGGGTAGGACTTTATAGCAACTCCCCTAGAAGTTCATAGGTCTTTCAGTTACCCTGAAAGATAAAGAAATGCCTGCTTTTATGAGAATTTATAGAAAACATCTTTCTTAACGTTATAAAAATATATATCCTTCTAGTTTATGTTGTTTTTTTAATCGTTTTATTACAGGCTTTCTAAACTTTTAAACTGCTTTGTAACATGCTTTTTGAGTCTGTCCCGTTTCCCTAACTTTTTAATTATGAAAATTGTGAAACATACATAAGACGTGAAAGAAGAAACAATAGTGTAATGAGCACCATTTACACTTTATCCAGATTAAAACGTTGTTAACATTTTGCCACATTCCCTTCCTACATGTGTGTTAATATATATATAGATGTGTATATGCATTACATATATAAAATAAGTGTATGGAAGTAGTAATAATTATATAATTATTTTGTAAGTGAGTATATTTTATGTATATCCATGTATAAATTATTTTTAGCTTAAACCTTTTATAGCAAGTTGTAGGCAGCATACATCTCCTAGAAGTAAAGACATTTTCTTTCATAACCACAGCAGCATTATTACTATAATTTAATAATATAAATACCTAGCTCATGTTCAAATCAGGGTAAGATATAATAATGGTAGATATTTCAAAACAGCTCTTTAGAGCAGTGAACTGATTTCTAATAATGAGCAAAAGATGACATGTCAGTGTGCCACCTTAATTCTATAGAGTGGTGTATATGCCATTTATACCACTAGATAATGATAAAAATAACATTAAGAAGAATAAGGGATATTTATTGGTCCCTCATTGGAAGTGCCAAACACATATGCCAGACACTTCATATACATTTGCTCTCTTAATTCTTACAACGACCCTTTGACATTTTACAAAAACCGAGCTCACAGAGGCTTAGTGAATCTCTCCCCATCACACTGCCGGAAAGGGGTAGGAGTGCTCTGTGACTCCACAGCCACTGCTCTCAACATGCTGCTTTCCTATGTCCTCGACCTTAAACCCATTCCAGTGGCTTCTACTCCTGGACCGAAGGAAAGAGGGGCATGTTGGCCAAGAGTATGGACAGGCTTGTGTGTGTGAACTGGTTTGGGCGGGAGTGCTGCTAATCCCTCGTGCTCATGAGCAAAGGAAAAGGGACATGTCCAGCACTTTGGGTCCGAATCTTCCCCCAGCACCCACAGGGCTCTCTCAGGATGGAAAGGGCGGTACCGTGACCAGTAGCCTGCCGCACTGCGGGCCCTGGAAATGCCCTGTCTGTGTCTGCCCCTCCCAGGATCATTGGCACACCTTTCTACTTGACGGAGTACTGCCCAGGTCTCGTCTACAAAGACCCCACTCTGCCAGGCTTGGAGCCCAGCCAGAGGCGGGCCATATACACTGCCATGAACAGAGTCTTGTGCAAAATTCACAGTGTGGACTTCAAGGCTATGGGCCTAGAAAACAACGGGAAACATGGTGAGCACAAGGCCGCTTGTCTTTCGTGCTGAACATTTCCTCACTGTTGCCTCTGCTTTGGGATTTGCGTGGTGTCAGGGTGTTAATGCACCAAGCGACTGCTAAATGTGAGGTGGGCTTATTTGCTTTCTACTTGGAAATCCAGTTTCATATTAATGTAGATGTCCCTTAGCAAAACATTTTGTCCTGGGAAAAATCCCTTCATGGAGTCAGAATCCCTCTTCCCTGCAACTTTGTATCTCACTAGATCATTTAAATGTCTTTTTTTTTTTTTGATACTGACCAAGGTCATTTAAGATACCTTCTTTTCTTTTTTTCATCCTTTCCCTTACGTGTTCTTTCAACAGGGATAGATTTTTAAAATGCGATTATGCCAAGGTGTTTTGTTTGTGTAGTTTCTGCTTTTTTTTTTAATGTCTGAGAGGTCCAATTGCTCCTCATCCTTGCCAGCATTTTTTGTTGTCAGTTTTTTTAAGTCAGATGTGTTGAACCATAGCATCCTGTGAATCTTGACAAATGCAGTTTTATAACCACTATCACAATTGTCTCCATGCTTTGGCACGCAGAAATGCCACCACGAGCCAAAGTCTCACTTTTTCTGCCCTGCAAAGCCCAAGAGTATCTGACTCTTGCCCAGTATGGATTCCTGACCGTAGTCCAAAGAATCTGTCAGCCAAGCCATATTGAGTTCCTTTGTACAGCAGAGGCGGCCTGCCAAATTCACATCCAGATTGGGGGGGTCCTCACTGCCTCACTCCTTCCAAGTTCAGCCAGAGCCATATCGTCCCCCATAGTCTAACCTGTGGACCAGAGATACACATTCAGGGGGGGTTCCCCTCCACCTTGGTGGCCTCATTGGGAAATACGCATTCATAGTTCATCTGAAGTTCAAATGTAAGTGGGCATCTTGTATTTTATCTGGCAGCCCTAGTTACCTGGGACAGGGCCCAGGCAAAGACAATAGATGTCACCTGTATTGTTTCAGATGGAAAGAGCATCGGACCAGAAGTTAGATGCTAATTTGTTGGGTGACCTTAGACAAGTCACATCACTTTGTAACAGTTTTCTCAATAGTAAAAGTTTGGTAAAAAAAACAAAACAAAACAATAAAAATGCAGCCCTGCCCTGCCTCCCTTAGAGGGCTGACGTGAAAAGCAAACTAGGTGGCAGCGGTCCCAGTGCTTAGAATGAAGATACAGCCTCAGGTGGATGAAGTAATGGACCTGTGACAGTGCGCCCTGGACAGAGCAACTTACGAAGGCTCTCCTGAACGCTGGGTGCAGCCTTCGTCTCTTTTTAAAGAGGACTGTTTTGATGCTCTTGACACTGACGTATGAGCGTGAAGAGACAAAGCAGCAATCCGATTGGTTTCACGTGGCCAGGGCCTGCCTCCTGGGCCACTGGCTGTGCGAGAGGCTGAGAGCACAGAGCAGTGTCATCACAGAGCAGATCTGCTGACCCAGCCTCAGGGGCATCAGCTCTTCCTTTCCAAGGGTCCTGCGGTTTCTCCAGTTATATCAAGAACCCAGCTGCTGGGCAGGGCATTGGCTGTATAGACGCGAATATACTACCACGCGTATTATATATGACAAAGGTGCTTTCGGCACAGTATAGTTATTACAAACCTCTTTTCCACCGAGGACCTGCAGGGAGCCCATCATTCCCTTTTCTTGGCCCAGAAGGGCAGGCTGCTTTGGAGGGAAGGGCATCTGGATGCCTGGGCAGGAGGCCTGCTGGGGACCAGCACAGCCAGAAACACAGGGACAGGGGCACCGGCATCCCAGGAGAAGGGAGTGTGTGCAGTGCTGGGTTGGTGTCTATAGAACGGGGGGATGGGCCCTGGAGGGGCTGCTTCCACAGCGGCTCAGCTCCTGCAGTTTTGTATTTCCCTCAATACGATGCTTTTCAAACTTGCATAAATGTGAAACAGTACAACATATAGCTATACAGGGAGGGGCAAAAGGAGGTTTACAGTTAGAGGATGCAAAACACAGTTTATTCTTGTGTTGTTATGTATTGATTATTGTTTATTTTCCATACGGACAACTGCAAACCCATTTTTGCCCCACCCTGTAGTACCCACTACTAATTTTAACAATGGTTAACTTCTGCCATATTGTTTATCAGTCTGCTTAAATGTGTGTGTGTATGTTTATGACCCACAAAGTTGCAGAGACCCTGACGCTTCATTTCTAAATATCTCGGTGTGTGTTTCCTTTCAATAGGGATGTGCCTCCGTACCATTACCACATCCGAGAAAATGCACCATTCTCCCAGAATATCTGAACGCCGGTGCACATTCACATCTTCTCATTATCACCCTCACATCTTATAAGTGAAGGTTTTTCCAGATCAGGGTCCAATTAAGGAATGCAGCACAGCCCCTCCCACGCGCCTCCTTGCAGCCTTGTCTTGATTGTTCCCTCATGGTTTCGTTTACTGCTGCTGCCTTCTATTTCCTGTAACTCTGCAGACTGGAAGTTAGTTCTGAAGGGTTGGTTTGTTTCGGGTTAAACTCCTGTGGATTTGGACCTCCGCCCCTCCCAGCCCAGCTGGATCCTCTGCCGGGCGGATGTCCAGATGCTCCGAGCACACAGTGGACTCCACAGAAGGGGCATGGTCTCTCCGTCCCCGTCTTTAGCCTCTGGGGACCATTTTTTTCTCACACGAGGGGTGACCTGACACATTGCTTATTATCAGTTATCATAATGGTGATAATCAGTAATTAGCAGTGGACAGAAACGGTGACACTACTCGTGTCCACTGTTCACAGAGCATCCCTGTGTGCCAGCTCTGTATTTGTGGGCACGTCATGCAGGGATTTCATGTGGCCTTCATGACAGTCCCACAGAATTGAGTGTCAATACACAGTATGGAGGAAGCAAGGGAAGGAGACTCAGAGAAGTTAGATCAACTGAAGACCTTGACTGGGAGCCAAGTCAACTCCAGAATTCCTTTCAGTCTCAGACGGAACTTGCAAGTTCCTCAGCTATTGTATTTCTTGGGTTTCCTACCAAACCACTGAATAAAAACAGCAAATCCTGGTCTAGTACTTACTGCAGGCTGGGGACAGTATCAGGGGCTCTCCACGTGCTGTCCTCCCAGCAACACGTGAGGACCATCTCACAGGTGAGGGTAAATCAAGGCACAGAGGGAGAACAGCAGGCAGAGCTGGGCTCAGATCCAGGCAGTCTGGCTGCAGTGTCCACGCTTTTAGCCAATCACTGTTTAGCCAAGAAAGGATTTCCTAAAGGCTGTTAGGGAGCTCATAGGACCACAGAGAGGAACAGGGATCAGGCTTGGAGGCCACGTGGCTGGGAATGAGGCCCAGACCACCCTGATCCAGCCACGGCAAAACAGGCAGTGGCTTCCCCCCAGGCAGCAGGAGCAGCCCACGGGAAATGCCAATCAGAGGACGATTGTGGTAAAGAGCATTGCAAGGGGTTTCAGGGCCCTGGTTGGACTTTGAAACCTCTGGACGCCGTTGGAATGGCACACCACGCTCTCACCCTCTTCCCTCAGGGGACTACATCGCGTACCAGGTGCGAACCTGGATTAAGCAGTATCGAGCCTCAGAAACCAGCACCATCCCGGCCATGGAGCGGCTCATCGAGTGGCTGCCGCTTCACCTTCCTAGGCAACAGAAGATCACCGTGGTTCATGGGGACTTCAGGTAGTTATGAGGAGGGGGGACTATGAAAATGTGAAAAATTATGGGAAAGGCATCTTAAAGGGAAATTAAGCAGCTGGTCTTGGCCCAGTTTACGGTTGTGACTTATTTCTGTTACAGAGGGTCTCCCTGTACAAGCCTTTTAAGGCGAGGTTCCTTAACCTTGGCTCTACAGACAATTCTTTAGGTTGGGGGGCTGTCCTGGGCAACCGTGGGGGCTATTACCACACCTAGGTCTAAAGGTACAAGGGTGTGCTCCAGTTATTACTGCTGCATAACCAACTCCTCCAAAACCGCGTGGCTGTAAACAATAATGACAGCAGGATTTTTTGCTCACAAATTTGCAATCTGGCGACAGGAGAACTTGTTTCAACTGGGTGGCTCTCAGGCTGGAGGCTGGGACCACCCGAGGGCTCGCTCTTGTGCCCGACACTGGGGCAGAGGAGATGTGAACAGCTAGACTCCTCAGGCCCCACTCTGTCTCTTCATGGTTTCCCACATGGTCTGTCTGATATGGCAGCTTCGGGGTAACTGGACTTCTTACCTGGAGGCTCAGGGCTGCAAAGGGATGTGTTCTGAGAGAGAGCGAGCTGGCCAGGAGCTGATGACCAAATCTCTGGTGTCACTTGGCATCACTTCCATCTGCAGTGTATGAGGTCTGTCCAGAAAGTATCCAGCCACGTACTGTGAAAAATAGAAACATTTATTGAAGAAGATACAAGAGACATTGTACATAGAACAGTGATGCCTCAGTCCCCTTCAAAGTAGGCACCCTGGGACCTCACACAGTTCTCCTAATTGCCATCAGCTGCCCTGTCGTATTTTCCCAAATCTCATCAGTGGTCTGAAATCTCTTCCCTTTCAAAGGTAATTCTAGTTTTGGGAAAAGTCAGAAGTCACCGGGTGCCACATCTGGGCTGTAGGGGGGCTGAGTCACCTGGGTCATTTGTTGTTTCACCAAAAAGCTCTGCATGAGACATGATGCGTGAGTAGGTGCATTGTCTTGATGAAACTGCCAGTCACCAGTTGCCCAGAGCTGCAGCCTTTTAAATCATGCGAATAGTTTTCGTGGAGGAATGTCCAAGCTTAACACAAAATTTGATGCACTTTTTTGCTCTACTTGCTCAGTCATTTTGAATGGGATAGCTACACAGTACACATGCTCACTCAAGGGTGTTTACCTCCCCCACTGACTAGTACAGTGAAGTAATCATTGTTCACACATGTACATTCCAGTCCACTCTCCTTGGCTTCCAGGTTACATGGATGTTGTGCAAGCTGTTCCCATTATATTAACAATGGCTGGACTTTTTCTAGACAGACGTATTTGTTAGAATTGAGATTCTAACAAATACGTCTGTCCACCTCTTCACATCCAGAGGTGAAGAATTAGACTCTTCCTTTTGTGGAAGGAGTGTCAAAAGAATTTACATACCTGTTTTAAAGCCATTACAGGGAAAGAGGAATTACCAGGACGCAGAGAGGTCAGCATGTAGAGAGGGGCTATCTGACCAAAGCTCCGGCCCTCCGGACAGGAATGCAGCCGGCCCTCAGCTGTCTTGAGGGGGAGCTGGCTGATGCATAGCCCCTTCCCATCTCCTGCTGGGGTCCCACTGGCTGAGCCCATCTGAGCCAGAGGGCAAGGGAGCTGGTGGATATGGCCACAGCCCTGGCAGCTCAGGCTCCAGGGCCATAGGGGGGTCGGGGGGGGGGGTGCTGGGTACATCCGGAGGAGTAAATGGAAGATGCCCAGCACAGAGCACACTTAGCAACCGGTTTTCTTAGGGCTGTTGCTCTGTTCCTTCTGTGGCCTGTTCAGGCTGGACAACCTGCTGTTCCATCCAGAAAATACCGAGGTGCTTGCTGTCTTTGACTGGGAACTTTCTACCTTGGGTGACCCCCTTGCAGATGTGGCCTACAGCTGCGTGGCTCACTACCTGCCTCCCGAGTTCCCCTTACTGCCAGGTAGGAACTGCTGATGGGGAGAGGGAGGACCGAGCCAGCGCCATTCTCACGGCGTTGGGGCAGACTCAGTGGAAGCAGCTGTGACTGGGCTGGTGGTTTTGGTAGAAAAGCATCTGGGATTCGTTCCTGTCCCAGTGCGGGGAAGGGGGTGGAGGGGCATTTGAAGTGAGAAGGATGGGCATATAGGCACCGCTTGTGCTTTTACACAGCTAATTTCTATTTAATCTCTTAAATTAAAAGCACAGGTTTATTTAAAGATTTTAAGAACCAACAGGTAACAAAGAGTTCATCTCATCAATAATCCCAGAGATAACCACTGCCAAGCTTGTCATCTTTTTTCTGTGTGTATACACACATTTGTCTAAATGAAAATGTGATTGTATCATTTCATGACCTGCATTTTTTCACTTATATACTTTGGACATGTCTTCATGTCAGTATTTCTTCTTACAGCATCATTTTTAATGACAGCCTAGGATTGTATTATGTAGAGTAAGCTAAATCAAGACATTTGGTTTGATTCCTACTTGAATATTTAATTTGTTTCAGTTTTTTGTAGCTTACCCTGCCCTCACAAAAAAGGCAGAGAACATCTTTGTAGTAATATATTTACGGTATATATTTACATATATACTATATACACATACAACATACTTCCAGGATAAATTCCTAGCAATAGAATATATCACATGCTTCTAAATTATGAATATGTTACAAGTGAAACAAATCTGTAAAATTTTTTATTTGTTGTAATTTTCTTTTTCGTAATTTGGTGGAATCTTTCTCTTTAGCGTTCTTTATCACATGATTGATTGAAAATAACAGATGTCCACACTGAGCTGCTGTCTAAATGGAACCGGAGACCCCTCATTCCTTCCTTTGTTGCCAATTTAGTCTGAAACTTTTTTAAGAGTCAGTTCAGGAAAAATAGCTTCACATCTGGATCCCAGCCATCTGAGGAAGGAAGAGCCCTTGAAATAATGGGCTAATCCTTTGAACTAGCTGTGAAGCTAACTTCCCATGGAGGAAGAGATTTTCAGAATTTAAACATTCGTGGCCACCGAGGGGTGTACTGTCACTGACTGCCCAGGATGGCTCTGTCCCCACAGGTTTGGGTGGCCGAGATCTGACCCAGCTGGGCATCCCTGCTGCAGAGGAGTATTTCCAGATGTACTGCTCTCACATGGGGATCCCTCCCGTCGAGAACTGGAACTTCTACATGGCTTTCTCCTTTTTCCGAGTGGCTGCCATCACACAGGGAGTCTACAGGGGCTCACTCACAGGTAACAGGGAGGCCTCAATCTGCTTCTCCTGCTGCAAATGCCCAGAGGCTTCAGAGGGATGGGTTCGGCCAGAATCTTGGATTCTGTTAATTCAACCACTTGCCTTTAAGTATACATCGTATAGTTATATTCTTTGAAGTACTTACACTTTAAAATTATTAAGATAATGTACAAAAGCTTTTAAAGTAAAAATATACACAATAAGAATTCAATCACCCAGAAGGACATAAAACTATTTCCCTTTCTTCTCAGCATCCTTCCTCAAAGACAGACACTACTGTTAAGGTTTCTTGGGCCACCCAGTGTTCTCTCTCCAAGTTTTATAAAAATATGATCATCCTACTTCAGTGCCTTGATTTTTAAATGATTTATGCTCAAGAATTCCTATGAAACGTGTGTGTTTGTGTGTAGGATATGATGTGTGTATATGAGACAACTCATAAGGCAAATTCCTTTATTTTTTTGTCTTCACTTAACATTTCAGAGACCTTTCATATGAGTAGGCACAGATCTCCATCATTCTTTCAGATTTCTCTAGCACCTTCCATTGTGTGGCTATGCTGTAATTTATTCACCCACCTCCCCATTGATGTATATTTCTATTGTTTGCAGATTTTTGCAGTCACAAATAAGTGGTTGGTGAACATCCTTTCTCACACATGAGTGACTATATCTGAAAGATAAAATTCCCAGAATGAAAATTCCTGGGTTTTCCAAAAGTATGTGCATTTAAAATTTTTGTAGATGTTACTGAGTTGCCCAGTAAGAGGGTTGCTGAAGGAGAAAAGGATTATGTTTCCTTTGATGGTGCTTTCACAGACGCAGAAAAATACTGTACTGAACTAGCTAGGAGTTCTGGATTATACCTCGTAAGTTTGAACTTTTGAGAAGAGCAGTTGAGTGTTGTTACCGGTACTTAGAACTGACCGTGGGTTGCGTATGTATGTACACGCACCACCTGTATAGTGTTTTCATATGCACGAGGGGAGGGCACAATGTTAACTAGTTTTAATTCTAAATATTTTGGGGTAGCAAATAAAATAATCTATATCCTAAATTATCTAAGAAAGGCAGATCGAAGTTGGCTTCCTGTGTAGAAGGGAGGCAGAGAGAAAGTAGATGGACTCTAGAAAGTAACTAACCCAGTAGCATTGAGCACAATCAGTTACTCACATTAAAATCTCTAAATTCCATTCCCACCAAAAGCAACCAGGATACTCGGGAGACGTGGCTGATTTAGGTCTAGGGCAGGATATCTGCATGATGAACCTGGAATGTCTTATACCAGAGAGCAAGGAAGTTGTTGAAGACTGCTGGGGTCACATCTAGAGGACTCAAGAGCCAGTTTCAGCAGGCTCAACCTGCTCACAGTGGGAAACTTGTAGCATAAGGACGATAGCTGAAGTGGACCGAAGCACATCAAGTGCGCTTAAATCCATGAGTGAAGAGTGATGCTGGAGGTTTTTACTTCAGAAAAGCCCATGGCAGATGGGTTGGGGGTGGCAGAGAAGGACACAGATCGACCTTGATTTGATGACTGTGGAAGCTGAGTGATAGATATCTGCTGATTTATTATATCTTTCTCTTTACTTTTGTATATCTTTGAAGTTTTCCAAAATGCAAATTAAAATAAAAGTCAAGTAGACAGAAACCCAGCAGTGGGTTTGTGAATACTACAGGGACGTCTTAGCTTCATGGCCATTGACACCCCAAGTTTTCTAGTAGCCTCTTGCCCTTGGCCAAGTTGCCATATTATTCTGAGGAAAGCAGGTGCAGGAGGGGAATTGACTATTCATTCATTCACAAGAACGTGAGCCTCAGCTAAGCCAGGTACTGTGCCTAGTGGTACTGGCATTAAATTATTGACTTTGCTCATAAGCAAAGTCCAGAGACAAAACCAGCATCTAGGGGTTTTAGTTTAACCCTTCCTGATCTGATAACAGCAGTCTTGATAAGCAGGAATTCTTGGAAATGATATTTTCTCTTCCTTTGGATAGCATTAGCTCTAGGCCACCAGTTCCCAGTTTTCATCATGGCTTTGCAATGAAAGCTCCCCATCAGGTGAGGAACAGGCCTGATTGCCAATAGACACTTTCTCAGGGGCTGCTGAGATCTCTCAGGGTTCTGCTCCAGTGCCTGGGGATAGCTGAATTGATTTTGCATTATTTGTTCTGGAGTCTCTACACCTATAAACCTCACTGGAATGTCCTCAGTTTGCCCATCAGGAAGCCATTTAGACAGTTTCCAAGATCCTGGGAGCCATTGGCTGGCTTCATGCTTCTCTGGGCTTGGAGGAAAACACCTGGTGGTTGCCACCACAGGAGAAGCAGAAGCACTGTCCTTCAGGCACCTGCTTCTCCAGGCCGCACTGTGCATTCCCTTCCCTCCTCACTGGAAGTCAGCCAGCCGGAGTGAGTGGCTGAGTTTCCCCCACAAAAACGGCAACATCTGGTTTTGAAAGGACAGCGTACAGAAGTGCCCCCTCATCCACAGCTTCAGTTACCTGTAGTCAGCTGCAGTCTGAGAACAGTAAATGGGAAATTCCAGAAATAAACAATCCATAAGTTTTAAGTTGTGCACTGCTCTGAGCAGCGTGATGGGATCTCTTGCTATCCCGTCCCATCCCACCCAGGTCATGAGCCATCCCTTTGTCCGCCGTCTCCACGCTGTGCACACTCGCGTCTGTCAGTCACTCAGCAGCCATCTCAGCTACTAGACCTGGTAGATCGGCTGTTGTGTCACAGCGCTTGTGTTCAAGTCACCCTTATTTTACCTTCAGATGTCCCCAAAGCACAAGAGTAGTGATGCTGGCAACTCAGACATGCCAGAGAGAAGCCAGCCATGAAGTACTTTCTCTAAGTGAAAAGGTACATAAGAGAAAAAACGTAGTATATGCAGAGTTTGGTACTGTCCTGAACATATCTCCTGTGAAAGGAGGGGGCCATTATACAAACATTCAATGGGAGGAAACAAAAAACCCCAACTATACAAACACCAATATTATTTCTGTACATTTGCCTTCTCTAAAATCATTGTTTTGTTTGAACAGTTGAGATGTTTGGTGTTGCCTTGGAAAGTGGGGCCGAGAGAAAGAGCATTTGTTCCAAAGGTATTCTCTCTATGGTGACAGTCACAGGAGATGTTAGTTCTTTAGACTGGGAGGAGGACAGTAGTGACCAGAGCCTGGGGACTGATTTACAGTCTGCACCGACCTGTCTCAAAGGTCACTGTCCTTTAGTAATAAGTGGGTGTGGAAGACTAGATTCCTTGTAGGCGGCTGCTGAAATTCTAGAGAGGAAAAAGTGCTTGTGGCTACAACTTAGGAATAGGCCAGTGACGTGGTCTCTTCTGCTGGAACTACATTGGGAAAAATATGCCAGAAATGGTAGCTTTAAATGAACCCAAGCTCACACAAGTGACTTTCTAAGAGACGAAGAAAGCAGCACTCTGAAATCAAGATCAATCAAGGAGAAAAACATCAAGAAAACACTTGTACTCTGGTAGGAAAAGAAAACCATTACGAATAACAATGAGTGCAAAGGAGGTGTCTTTCTGTTCGCAGTGGTGCATTCAGTCTGAGTAAGGAGGGGAAGATGCAGCCCATGCGTGTTCATCGGCCCTCCCTGTGTGTCAGGGACTCAAGGAAAGTGGCTGTCTACTTCCCGACCGGCCTCAGGCTCAGATCCATGCCAAGCACCTAGAAGGAGCTGAATAAAGACTTGTTGAGGTCTAGTAGTTTGCATTCTCTGCTATGTAGCAAATGGATTTGGTTCCTAGTTTAAGGAATAGTATAGTATCTTCAACACCAAAGCTGCACGAGAATGGCTCTTTTAAGAAGTTGGCCATGGAAGGAGGCAGAAGAAAAACAGGCCTCCAGGAAGGTCCATAGAGAATGAGGGAGAGTCTCTTTCGAGCCCAGGAGAGCTGGCCGTGCAAGAGCCTGCAGCACACACACAGCCACCCAGCAGGCTCAGCTGCCATCCGCCGAGTGAAGGAGGCCTCACTGAAAAGACTGCGTACCCTGTGTTGTATTAGTGACACTCCAGAAAAGACAGGCTAGAGGAGCAGAGAGACTGTCACCAGGGGCTGGGGTCGAGGGCTGGGTACAAAGGGGCACCGTGGAAGTTCGGGGACAATGGGAGTATTCTGTATCTTGATAATGGCGGTGGTCGCCTGGCTGAACTCGCAGACTTACAGAGTTTCTAAAAAGGGTGTGTACACTATAATTTAAAAAGAACTTTTAATCCTTTAAAAATCTTGATGAGCCTGTTAAGGAGGCGGTGAGAGCAGGGCTAGACCGAGTGCGGTGGTGCAGGTGACCGTGTCGATCTAAGAAAACGGCACCCGGAACCACTCGTGACACCGCGGTTACGGTCTCACAGCACGGGCAGCCCAGGGTGGCACGCGGCTTCCTGTAGCCCCGGGCGCCCGCAGAAGTAATTTGGGGTGTTCCCGCAATTTTAGTTTCTTTAGGAAAAGAGCAGGTGGAGAGCAGGAAACAGGCCAGCTGAGACTGACTTCTGGCTGCCAGGCCTTCAGTGAAGGCTGGGGCACGTTTCCTCCCTGGGATTCAAACCCCTGTCTTCAAGGGAGTCACACCGTTACATTGCTCCGGGAATCCAATAAGCGGTAATAACAGGTGAAGCACTTAACACTAGGTCTTGGCCCTGGCAAGTGCTCAGCAGGTGGTGGTAGCGGCTGATACAATAACAGCATCCTCATGTGTTAATATTATTATTAAGGGCTATTTGGGAGTAATCACTGTTTTTCTTTGCTTAGGGCAAGAAAGCTCAGAAGCTGCTGAACACATTGGAAAGCTGCCTGAATTCCTATCTGAGCTGGGCTGGGAGTTCGCAGTCAAAGAAGGGTTCCGGGTCTTCAACAAGATGCCAGCCGCGAAGCCGGCAGTGGGTTCCTACCACACGCAGGCTGGCCCACGGTCCCTGGTGGGCATGCCAGGAACCAGGAATTTTAGCTCCCTTCCGGAATCTTCCTCAGCCCGCTCCTCAAAGGGAGCTCTGGTCATCTCTCCGGAGGGCCTTTCCCCACAGGCCAGGGAGCTCTGTCGGTGGCCGGAGCAGTTCATGGAACGACACATGTGCTCCGCAGAGCCAGAGCTGTGGGGTCACCAGGCCTCGGTGGAGAGACGGACCCCTTCCCCCCTGGTCGAAGATCTCAAGGTACAGCAGCTGTTCAAGAGTCAGTAGGAAGACCTTGTCGAAGTGGCAGGACTTCAGCTTGTCCACTGGGCACCTCTGTTCCCTCCCCAGGCAGGGAAGGGACGGCAGAGCCGAGCGGAACTGTCTTCCCTTTCCTCCACGACCAGTCCTTGTCTCTGGTTTCTGGCCCTGGCGCCGGTGGGATTATAATGCGTATTCGAATGATGTAAATGTGAACCGCTGTGATATTGACTAGCTCAGTTAGTAAAGTCTCCTCTGAAGAATCCACAGTGTCTGCGCCCGAATCAGTGTGAACTGTGTCTGCTCTCGCCACACAGCGACACAACCTTCGCTGGGGGATGGAAATACCCGATGTTCTTCGTCAGCATTCACCTGGACTCGTCTCGGTTATTATTTTTTTTTAATCTTTAGAGGGGAAGGTAAGGAGACAGAAAAATATCAATGTGTGGTTGCCTCTCATGTGTCCCCTGCCGGGAACTGGCCTGCAACCTGGGCATGTGCCCTGACTGGGAATTGAACTGCGATCCTTTGCTTCGCAGGCCCGAGCACAATCCACTGAGCCACACCAGCCAGGGCTCATCTCAGTGTTTAATTGAGGTCTTCAGGAGCACATCTTTTGCCTATGATACAGCCATCATCTATCTTTAAAAAAATAGCATTATCACTTCTTTCTAGTTACAGACATATTGCAAAATTAAATAAAGCTCAAACGTGACAAAGTACACAACATAGAAAGCTTTCTCTAAAACTCTGTCCCCTCTGAGATAATCTCTGACAACCATTTCGTGTATTAGGCTCCTGGCTTTTTTTCCTATTATATACTAACATATTTCATTATTTTTATACTTTAATGGAATCAGCCTGTACATTCGATCTCCTGCTTGCTTATTTAACTTAGCAATATGACACCTTCTCCTGCCAGCACCTGATTGACCTCTGAGGGGTTCTGCAGTGTGGGTGCGCCATAAATTGTCTGCCTGCCCCCTGGCTGAGGGACACTGGGTATCTCAGCCAACAGTCTGGGTGCAAGTCACAGAAGCCAACAGTCTGGGTGCAAGTCACAGAAGCCAACAGTCTGGGTGCAAGTCACAGAAGTCAGCCAAGGCTCTTAGTGAGTTGCCAACATGCACCTCGAGGCTGAAAACCCAGCTTTAGGAGACAGTAGATGGTGATTCACAGGATCTCCTTATGCCCCATAGCAAGGCAGCGGAGGCTGTGGCCAAGTGTACTGGGCCCGGTGTGATAAAGGATCCTTCAGTCACCTGTCTGTGCGGAGCGTGCCATCAGCACATTTGTCATTAGAACATTAGTAATGGCAACACTGATGGGAGGTGGGCACTGGGGTGTCTGAGAAATGCAGACTGGGGGGTCGAAGCACCAGGACTCGACGGCTCCAGGTCTCCTCGGGCTTGTGCCACCCCCAGACCCGGCCTGATGGTGCGGCCTCGCACCACTGTTTCTGGCACACACTTCGTCTTTGGCCGTCTACCCTCTTCCCTTCAATCCCTCTCATTATTTCCCACAGGCCAAAATAAAACTAAATCACCGCTGTACTTCCCTGACTGACTTTTCCTGTGCTAGGAGAAAGCCAAGGCCAAAGGACTTTGGAATCTCCTCCTACCCTTGGAGATTGACCCCGAGGGAAAATATGGAGTAGGGCTGACCAATGTTGAGTACGCACATCTGTGTGAACTCACAGGCATGTCTGTATGCTCCTGATGTACTTTCTTTGCAGTTCTCCGCGTGCGAGGATGTCCTTGCCCTCCATAACACGTCGGTCCCCCCCACCCCGGACTGACGTTTTTTTTCTAGCTGCCCTGCCCTAATGGGCGAGGACAACTGTGGACAGGTGGCTGGAGCCAAGGCAGGGAAGCAGCGAGGGACAGGCGTCTCCCGGGGAAGGTGGGAGCTGTGGGAGGCATGAGCCTGGCTGGCTTCTGAGTCTGCAGCCCAGTTTCCTTTCAACAAAGGAGGTCCGTGGCTGGGCATCTTGGGCTCTGAAATACTATATTCAGAATGTTTCTCTCTTTGCACATCTCTGGGGAGAGGGGGAGCTTCCAGGAGGGTGTCAGAGGCCCTGGGACTTGGAAGATGCCCTGGTACATGTTTCCTGAGTATTTGGAGTTTTAAATATGGACGTGGGAGTCACCATTATGCTTTTTTTCCTTTTCGGATACTTAACTGTTCTGCTCCAGACACAGGGAACATGGAGCTTCTGGTGCGCTATGGCACTGAGGAGCAGAAGGCCCGCTGGCTGGTCCCGCTGCTGGAGGGAAAGGCCCGCTGCTGCTTCGCTGTGATGGAGCCCCAGGTACCACCTCCGGGGTCCTTTATCAGGCCAGACCCTCGCCAGGCCCGTGACCTCCGCCACACACGGAACACAGGTCCCTTGGCGTCCTTAAGCAGAGTGTGTTCACACTCAGGTTGCCTCGTCGGACGCCACCAACACTGAGTCTTCCATCAGAGAGGAGGATGGCTTCTATGTCATAAATGGCCACAAGTGGCAGATCTCAGGTATTTGGCCTGAAATTAATTTTTCAGTCACACTTGTGTGGGTCTGTGTCAATAAGCATGTCTCTCTCTGCCCTGCTGTTGTCTGGGAAACAGCAGCAGGGGGGCGGCTTCTTTTCCAGTTGATGCAAAAGAGGTTCTGTCTCTGTGCTCCTTGCAAACCCCAGGAGACAAGAGGTTCTGTGGGGTCACCGGAGGACTACACCTGAGTCAATTCTAGGAATCCCTCGCTGACTCCCCCACTCTCTTCATTCTGCCTTTGGAAGGCAGAAGGTCACATCGTCAGTAGCTCCCCTGTGGCGGGATCAGATGGCTGCGTCAGAAGGGCTGTGGATCACCCTGCCGTCCATTCGTTGCGAGTTCACTCTGCATGGACCTCCCTCACTGAGTCCCCATTTCACAGAGGAGGCCACTAGGTCAGAGAAGTGACTTCAGGTACCAACTCCCCTGTTCACCCCTCTAGAGAAGTAGGGAATCCAGAGGTAAGGATTTGCCTGCTTCTGAAGCCCGTGCCCAAAGCCGCTATGTTTGCACCGTCTGTAGGAACAGAAGGGGCTGCCAGTGACAGAGGAGCGGCTTTCCGCCTCCTGTCTTTGTGTTTGCAACTGTACATGGTGCTTTTTTCCATAAATGCTCTTACCATGTTGGATTCATTCCTCACTAGGATGAAACCAGTCATTCTTATTCCTGGTCCAGAACCTGCATGTAGTCATCTGGTTACGTGAAGTCTTAAAGAGCTCTGTCCGCTTGCTGCCTTCAGCTTTCCTGGGCCAGGACTGCGTCTGTGAAGAGCTCTGATGGCCTTGGCATCAGATGACAAGAGTCTGCCTCTCGCCTTTCCTGGCAGGCGTCCTGGATCCTTGCTGCCAAGCTCTGTGTGTTCCTGGGAAAAACAGACCCGCATGCCCCATGCCGCCGCCGGCAGTCCATGCTCTTGGTTCCCATGGATACTCGGGGAATAAACGTCATTCGGCTTCTGACAGTGTATGGGCTGGAGGATGTGCCAGGTGAGCCTGAAGCCACTCCCGTCTGTGTGTGGGTCTGGGCCTGAGAAGCACGTCAGCATGCCGTGCAGTACCTCTACGGGCGTGATGCCATTCGGAGGGCCGTGTGTTTCTGCCTTTCATCTCCACATGTGAATATCAACCACATAGGCAAACTTCAGACAGGCATTTATACTTTCTTTTCTCTTCTAAACTTAGGAGATGAGACAAAATCTGAGATAAGGAGGCCACTCAAGGCAGAGGCAGGAAGTGCACTCCAAACCACCTCTCGATTCCAGCCGACAGCTGGCCTGCAGGCCTGCCGAAGACACTCATGTTTCCTTCTGGTGCTTCCAAGGGATCACTACATTGTTAGAGTCCACACTCTCAGGAAATTTCTCAAGCCAACCCTTGAGACCAAACAAATGCCTCACAAAAAACTACACAAAGATAAAAAGCAGTCCAGTGCGTTTGCATTACTGAGCAAAACTTCTGTGATCTACAACCTTCTGAGTTGCAACTGATCAGTTCTTTTCTCTAAATAAAATGCTTTTTTTTAAAGATTTTATTTATTGATTTTTAGAGAGAGAGAAAGGGAGAAAGAAAGGGGGAAACATCAATGTGTGGTTGCCTCTCACTCACCCCCTACTGGAGACCTGGTCTGCAACCCAGGTATGTGCCCTGACTGGGAATCGAACCAGCAACCCTTTGGTTCATAGGCCAGCACTCAATCCACTGAGTCACACCAGCCAGGGCTGAAAATATTCTTCTTTAAGGGCTCAAAATGGTACTTCAGCCCCACCCTGCCCGGAACTCACAGCAGCCTTCCTGCAGAGCAGGCTGTGTGCCAGACGTCAGAAAGGGCAGAGCTCTAACATGGCAGCTGTGCTCCATGGGACTTGGTCACAAGGGACTTGGTCACAAGGGACTAACTAGGAGTCTACAAAGATCTGATGCTAGGCAGTTTACCCCAGTACTGAACTTAAAAGCAAAATGTTGGGAACAACCTATAAGGCTAATAATTAGAACCTGGTCAGATAAACCCTAGTACAGGCATGCAGTGAAATTCCAAAATGATGCTGTAGAGAACCATTTCTTAACACGGAGAGATGCTCATTGTATGCCCTTAAATGAAAAGACACAGGCTACAAAGCAGTATGTCGAGTATGACTCCACTTTTATTTAAAAAAATGCATGCTGAAAGTCTAGAACGATGGCCACCAAATAGCCTGTGTAAGTAACTAGATGATGGATACCAGGTATTTCTATTTTTGTCTGAAAATGTATCCTTTTTCTGTTATGAGATGTATTATTTGTATAACAATTGCTTTCAGTTAAAACAAAACTAAAGGGAAAAGTAAAACTAAAAAAACCAAACAAACCCTAAAACTAAACCAAAAAAATTCCTTATAAACTTTTGTGATTGCTCATGACTTTAGGACTCTTTAGAATGTCCTTTGTAATCACAGTTGCCCAGGGTGGGGCTCTGGCACCCAGACCTGAAGCTGGGCCTGTCAGCAGAGGGCGCCCTTGCCCCACCTCTGTGAGATGCCCATAGCAGCCTAATTCCCAGAGTAGCCCTGGGCCAGATGCTGGCTCAGATCCCACAGAACTGTTCCTGCCTGGTTGCCCAGAGCAGCCGAATTGCCAGAGTAAAGGGATTCCTGGAAACGGTCTGAGCAGCCACCAAGCTGACTGGCTGTGTGCTGTGCACTTGAGTGTTGTCTGTGCCTGGATCTTCTTGGAAATTGACCTTGGCCAAGGAGCTGGCAAACAGTAGGACGGGTGGCTCACTCCTGATTCCGCTCCCTGCCTTGTGCTGTGTGCCCCCCTCCCAAGGGCACCAGCCCTGTGCCTCAAGCTGGTCTCCTGTATCTACAGGTGAAGCCCCACGTGGCCTTCGGGAAGCCCCTGGTGGAGCAGGGCACGATCCTGGCAGATGTTGCCCAATCGCCCGTAGAGATTGAGCAGGCCCGGCTGCTGGTGTTAAAAGCTGCCCACCTCATGGATGTGGCAGGGAATAAGGTAGGAGACCCGGGTGCACAGATGACAGGCCCTGAGGTTGGTGGCCTGAGGGAATCTGTTCTGGGAATCTGTAGACACGGCTCCTCCTTCCCCCCTCAGCAAACTCCCGAGAAAGAGCTTAGCTTCTTGACATTAATGACATCGCTTCAACTCTGCTTAGAACTATTTGGGCAGCTGTTCAGCAATGGAAGAGGCACACTAAAATAGGACAGAACTTTCCCTTTACTGAGCTGGTGGGCTTTTAGGTCTAAGACGTGAGCTGACAGGGTCACATGGCCCCGGGCCTCGCTCTGCCTCAGGCTAGACTACGAGGCCTGGGCCTGTTGGTGCAGGCGCCAGACAAACTAAGAGTGAGCACGGGAAGAATTCACCACAGAGCAGCTTTATTGCCCAATGTGACAATTGGGCAATTGGGCAATATTCCTTCAACGGCTCTTTCCAAGTGCTTTTAATGGCATGATGTCTGCATGGACCTGCACCTTCTCCAGCTCTATATTAGACCCCCAAGGAGCCTTTACTTTAGCTCAGAGGACTCAGTAGTGGGTGGGAGGAAGACTTGGGCTTCCCAAGACTTGGGTGGGAGGAAGACATTCCCAGCTCCTTGCCATTCCAGTACGGGGTATGGTGGAGGCTCTGAGGCCTGGCTCCAGTGCCCCAACTCAGGGCAGATTCTTGCAGCTTGGCCTCCAGAGTCCTGGCTGGCCGAGGTCCAGGTCAGATTGGAGACAGAGCTGCCTGTGACTGTGATCAAAGCACAAGCCACTCCCCACTCTGCCTTCTGTGGGCGTGGGCGATGCTCCCCATCATGCGGGAAGATGTCTGTTCTTGACCAGACACCTGTTCACACCTCACCATTTCCTGAGTCACCCTCACAGTCACCACCACTGAGCCTTCCATCGCCCCAGATGCTGGGAGTGGGCCATGCACCAGGCAGGGGCTGCCTCATGGAGCTTGTGGTCCAGCTGGACCTCAGGTGTCTGTTCTGAGCCATTGTTTCTGCTCCTCCCATGAAACTGATTGTTCTTCCAAGCATTCTGCCTTCCGGTCTGCCCTTCTAGTCTCGACTCCTCCTCTTCCTTACAGGCTGCAGCTTTAGACATTGCCATGATTAAAATGGTGGTCCCATCCATGGCATACCAAGTGATTGACTGTGTTATTCAGGTGAGGAGACTGGACTGCTGGTTCCTGGAACCATTTACACAACAAAAGCCAAACTCCCTCGCCTTCAGCTGCCCAACTTCCTGTGAACCATCAGCCACCCGTTGCTGCACACTCACCTTGCATGTCACTTCTCTTTTTCTCCTGGGGACAACCCTACAAGAGGGCCACATTCATAACTTTCACTTTGAACATGAGGAAACAGAGGCACAGAAAAGTGAAATGACTTGCCCAAGGTCACTCAGCTTGCAGGTAGCTGATCTGAGATTTATGGGAGCTTGGTCCTTGTTACACCAGAGCCCTGCCTTCTAACTATGCAGGATGTCTCCTTCCCAAATCGTAACACCTGGCCCCAGCATAAAGGTTTCCCAGGGGGCAGAAGTTACTTAGCAGAGTGGACTTGGGGAGTCTGGTGTCCACAGGATGGCAAGTGTGGCCCCAGCTACACTCTCCCAGAACATTAGTTGTCACACAGATAGCTGTTCTGAGCCATTCTGCTCAGGCCCTTGTTCCAGGGGCTCTCAGATGAGGGCTCACCCAGGGCTTCCTCCCTATCCCCCCTGTCTGCCAGGCCTTTGGAGCAGCAGGGCTGAGTCGTGACTACCCTCGGGCTCAGTTCTTCGCCTGGGCCCGAGTGCTGGGCTTTGCCGACAGCCCCGATGAGGTGCACCAGGCAGTGGTGGCCAAGGTGGAGTTGAAGCGTCACATTTAGGCCGGCAGGCCTGCAGGAGCCAGAACGCCCCTACCAGACCGAGATGCCCAGGTGTGAAACAACGCACCGTGAAAGGCCTGGTGTGTCTGATTCGTGCACCTTGTTGCAGTTGTGTACTGGGACTGTCATTGTGAGCACAGCCTTTTTGGGTCCTCACAACTGGCATTTCTGTGACAAGCTTGAGTTCGCTGTTTCAGCCGAGTAGGAAGGGACAGAGCCCATGAAGCTGGACTTTGGTTTCCAGGCTGGGCAGGCAGCCCACGTGCCCTGTCTCTGGCGGTGGCGTGTTGAGGTTGTGGGAAGCTGAACAAATATTAGGAGCATTGCTGGGTACTGTGCCTGTGTTTGCTCCTGACGGGGCTTCCTGGTCTGTGGGCCCTTCCCCTTGAGGGGAGCGGCGGCCCTGAAGGGCTGCACCTGAAGACCCTGGCCCAGTGCAGCTGGGAAACCGAAATCATGAAGCTGCTGCCATCTGATTTTCTTCTGAATTTCCACATCATCGAACACTAATTATGACATTATTTTGGAATGGGGCTTTGGGAACACAAAAGGATAAGAAAATATATCTCAAGAGACTTCATGAATGTCTTTACATCATTCAGAAGGAATTGGGAATAAAGGTTCCCACTTCAGTCCCTCTGTCTTGGTGCGTCACTTGTCTCTTCACGTATGTTTACACAGGATTCTGCTCAGTCATCGGCTCATGAAGGTGGGGGGCCCCGACGCTGTCATCTCTGGAAGGTAGGTCCCGAATCACTGTTCATGTGAATGTCACCCAAGGACTATGGCTCTCTGGTGCTCGAGGACCCCTGAGACTCCCACATTCCTCCATCGCTCCATAGTCAGAACACATCGGGGGAGGGGAGATGCCGGACAATGTGCTGTTACAATGTAGAGGGCAGAGGCCTCCTCTGGGAACAGCATGGAAATGCTCCACTTGAGGTCTGAGTTCTTCCAGAAATGGGTGCCCCATGAGCCCAGATAGCCCGTGGAGGTCAGCCACCAGCTGTTAGCACCCTGCCTGCCAATCTCATAATTGGTGATTGCATGGCCAACAGCTGCCCATTTCATGTCAGACCAGGTGGGCAGGGACAGCCCCCTTGTCTGTTGCACCACAGACTTGACTTCCTCAAGGGAACTGCTTTATACAAGAGAGAGCCCATTGGCCTCAGCCAGGGTCACGTGCTTCAGGGCACCAGAAAGTCTTGGGGTGCTTGTGAAAGGGCTCCCCAGACATTCTTGCCCCAGTGGTCTGGGGAGGCAGGCCCTCTTCAACCACAGTGCTTGTTGCTCATGAAAGTTCAGGTTAAATTCAAACCCCCTAACTAACTGCTATCACAACACTAGCCACATTGGCAAACAGCTTTTTGTGAAATCTGTCAGGGTTCTAGCACCCTGAGCTCTGGCTTCGGGCCTCAGCAGGGAGGAGGGTGTTGTGAGAAGGAAGTACCGTGGCCAGTGGCCTGACATCACATGATCATCAGAAACCCTTGAGGCCTCTGGGGTTAACCTTGCTTCACCAGTTAACAAGCTAGCGCAGCTGCAAGGATGAACATAGAAGCCGTGCTGTGGGGTGACCCCACATCTCCCTCTGCTGCGAGGGTGGGAGGTACTTGGGTGGGGCGGCAGAGGCTGATGGAGAATGTCAAGTCACAGAGATGCAGCCCTGAGCAGCCCCTCATCCAGGGTCTCCAATTCTGTTCCATCACTCCACTTATCACTGTTGAGTGCACCCCAGCTCTGGGCCTCACACTGTTCTTGGCCTTGGGGAATGTGCAGGAAACTGGTGCAGTGCTCAGGAAGCTCACATCTCAAGTAGGGGGTGGTGGGCGGTGTGGTAGACACTGGTGGGGGTTGGGGAGCTGGGGACTCAGGAGGGGCCTCTTTCCAGAAGAGGCTTTGGAGCCAGACCTTCATGCCGAGAATGGGCAAGGGTCCTTCTGTCTGCTGCAGAAGGAGCAGCAAATGCAGGGGCCCTGGGGAACAAGTCTGTGTGTCGGGTGAGGAGCAGAAAGAGTAAGAGCTGCCCAGTCATGTGGGGGGCCATGGGCAGCTTGGTTAGGAGTTTGGTGTTGATTCTAAATGTAACAAAATAGTGTTGATGGGTTAAAGAAATATTAAGAATCCTCCCTGCTTATGCCCGAGCTGTGACTTTTTATTATACGAATGAAATATAGGTGTGCTGTCTCCTGGGGAAAACTAGCCCTCTCCACAGAAGACTAAGCTCCATTTTTAACTCAGTACCTGTACACACTGATTGTTTCCTTGGGGAAGAACTGGCTATTCTCCCAGAGAAAACGGTTAGTCAATTGAGTCACAAAAGGCCCTTGGCACGTAGCCACTTTTGTCTAAAACATATTTAAGCAGAACCCCCAAAATGAAACTTTGGAATCCCACCCGAGGGAAGGACGCTTCTCTTGGAACTGCTCCCAGACAAACCCCGAACACGGGGTTCTGCCTCCAGACTCCCCAGTGTCTGTGTTGGGTGGTTGGTGTTCTCCCGTCTGGTGATGTATGCTCTTCATTCTTGCTTTCTCTTTGCTGTTTCTTAATAAATTGCTTAACTATTCACCTTTGACTTGGGTTTTTTATTGTGTGTGAATCCGAACCTCCAAATTAAGTGGCCATGATCACATACGTGCCCCTTAATGGCACATGCATTTAGCCCTGGCCACGTGGCTCAGTTGGTTGGAGTGTCGTCTCACACACCAAAAGGTTGTGGGTTCAGTCCCCAGTCAGGGTGTGTATGGGAGGCAACCAGCTGATGTTTTTCTCTCATTTCCATGTTTCTCTCTCTCTACCTTACTGTCTCTAAAAATCAATAAACATATCCTTGGGCAAGGATTAAAAAATAGTTTAGGCAGTGATTTGACAGGACTTGACTAGAGTTTTAAAAAGATCCTTTGCTCTTCACAGTTCACCAGGATGAAGAAGGAATAAAGAAGGATGAGAGCCAGTTCAGAGTTCCCTAACACTGCAGAAGGCTCCCGGAGAACCGCCTACAAAATTGGAAGGAAAAAAAAGGCAAAGGGAAGGAAGGGTGGGGTAGGGCCATGGGCCCTTTCCACCTGCATGAATGACTGGCGTTTCAGGTAAACAGTGCAGTGACACCCGGCACCGTGCTTCTCTGGAGTGGAAATCAGCGTGTGGTGGGGCACACGCTTGGGCACAAGCAAGCTCGGTGTAACAATGACCATGCCTGACCGGTTTTATCTGTAGAACATTTAACATCGCGCCACCAGCCCTGCGTGGCTGGACCAACCTGTCTAAGGGAAGGGAACAAAATGTGCTCATAATATACTAATATTTTTTTCTCACAGCAATATTCTGTCCCAAAGCCATTGAACATTCTTCTGTTGCTTTCTTGGCAAGCACAAGAGGCTAGACTGAACCCTCCTCAGGGGTCCAGGCATCGTCACAGGACCGCAGCTTCCATCAGAAGAGCCAACTCTGGCAGGTCATTCACCCGTTCCTGCCCTCCCTCCGCCTCACTCCCCTAAACCAGGTTATGGTCTTGGCATCTTCGCCTGCCCCCTCAAGTCCTGATTTCAGATACTGTCAGATAATTCCAGTATAATCCTAGAGAGGCAGGAAGAGAGAATTCCAAGTAACTTGCCTGGGGAGGGCCCTATCAAGACAGCAGCCAGGAGTGAACCCGAAAGAACAGGGTCCAGTGTTCTGGGCCACAGAGCCCCATCTTAGTCCTCTGTGGCTGCCTAGAGTCAACGCCTGTCTGTCACCACCCAGGCCTTCAGAGCTTCCTGGGGAGGCTTTGAGGATGCCCAAGCCTGTCTGTAATCACAGCAAAGTGCAGCACAGGCCCAAGGCTGAAGCATTGTTCCAAAATATCCGAGTCCGTATTTCTATTGCCCTCTGTGGCACCACATGGCTACAGACTTGTCCCCGTCTCTCCCATTCTCCTGTGGACCTCAGCCATCCTGGGCATCAGATAGAGGGAAAAGACTCAGGTTCCAGCAACCTGGGGCCAGTCCTGAGCTCATCTGTTGTATAAATACTCTGGGAGCAAAGTCTTCTTCTCATCATGAAGGCTGGCTAGAGAAACAACTTCGGGGAGTCCTGTGTCAAAGCAGCACGAGGCAGCAGGCGGCAGAGTGGTAAAGAGCTGTCCAAGACAAATAGGACACTGATTACGTGGTCAGGACAGATGCTGATCAGGGAGATGCTACTGCAATAGGAGGGGGCGGGGCTGAACGGACCACCACTTCCATTTGTAGGGAGTGCATTTGAAAGGGAGAGAGGGAGAACAGGAGGGAGGGCGGGCGGGTCTGTTGGTGGGAGGGATTTCCTGCTACATTTGTAAAAAGCTGGATTCCAGGGCTGGTCCACATAAAACCCACCTGGATTTACTAACTGTCCCGTTAGCTTATCCAGGTTAGGCGTCTAGCCTCTCACAGAGACTGGGAGACAAGGTAACAGTAACTTCTTTGGGCAGCCTGAGTTTTCAGGCAGCACTTTCCTAAGGCTAACGTTATTTTGAGGGTATAGCCTTGAGCTGTTAGAAACTGTGTTAGAGTTTGCACAAGTCTTTTGATATGGTGGGGAAATGCACTAGATAATTTGTGCTGAGAGTCTGAGGTTTCTACAGGCCAAGGGTAAAGCCTAGTCAAGAAGAAAGTGTACAGAAGCCTAAAGCCTAGTTAGTTTGGCCCTGGGTTTGAATCCTGACTGCATGACAGACTATCTAGGCGACAATGGGAAGTGATTTCTCATCTCCTAGAGTTGGTTTTCTTTTCTTTTTTTTAAAAGATTTTATTTGTTTATTTTTAGAGAGGGGGGGAAGGGAGGAGAAGGAGAGGGAGAGAAACATCAAGGTGTGGTTGCCTCTCGTGTACCCCTACTAGGGACCTGGCCCACAACCCAGGCATGTGCCCTGATTGGGAATCAACCAGCGACCCTTTGGTTCATAGGCTGGTACTGAATCCACTGAGCCACACCAGCCAGGGCTAGAGTTGCTTTTCTCATTGAAAATGTACTTCCCTTCCAGGACTGTTGGAGGATTAAATGAGATGATTCAGGGTTTATAAGAATTACCTAAGACATGCCAGTTTTTCATGTGTGTCTGGGTGAGAATTAAAACAGCCTTGAGAGGATTAACAAAACACAAGGAGTTTTTTTTTACATGTCACACTTGTGAGAATGACAGTCATCAAAAAGACAAGTGACAACAACCCTGGCTGGTGTAGCTCAGTGGACTGAGTGTGGGCCTGCGAACCAAAGGATCACAGTTCGATTCCCAGTCAGGGCTCATGCCTGGGTTGCAGGCCAGTTCCCAGCAGGGGACTGAGGGGCAACCACACATTGATACTTCTCTCCCTCTCTCCTTCCCTTCCCCTCTAAGGATACAGAAATAAAATCTTAAAAAAAAAAGACAAGCAACAACAAATGTTTGTGGGGCGTGGACAAATGAACACTTATGCTCTGTGGTGGGAACGTAAACTGGTGCGGCAGCCACCAGGAAAAACAATATGGAAGTTCCTAAAAAAGAAAAAAATAGAACTGCTGTGTGATCCAGCAACCCCCCTTCCAGGTACACATCCACAGGAGACGAACACGGCGTCTCGGAGAGATGTCTGCACCCCCTGGTCACAGCGGCGCTGCCCACAACAGCCAAGGTCTGGAAACAGCCTAAGTGCGCGCTGATGGACGAAGGAGGTGAGGCACCTACCTGTGCACAGTGGAACGGCCGAGAGACACGTCCCGCCATTTGTGACAACATGGATTCGGTGGAACAAGTACGACAGAGAAAGACAAATTCTGTGTGATTTGTACGTGGAACCTAAAAAAGCTGAAGTCATAGAAACAGACAGCAGAAGGCTGGTTACTAGGGGCTGGGGGGTGCGGGAAATGAATACACGCTGGTCAGCTGGTACACACTTACAGGTGTAAGATGAATGAACTCTGGGGATCTAATGTCCAGCATGGCGATTACAGTTCATGATACTGTATTACAAACTTGAAAGTTGCTAAGAGTGTCTATCTTAAATGTTCTCAGTACAAAAAAGGAATGGTAATTATGTGATACGATGGAGGTGCCAGCTAAAGCTAAGATGGTAAACATTTTGCATTATAGAAGTGTGTCAAACCAGCCCTGGCTGGTGTGGCTCAGTGGATTGAGTGCTGGCCTGTGAACCAAATGGTCGCTGGTCGGATTCGCAGTCAGAACACATGTCTGGGCTGGGGGCCAGGTCCTCAGCAGGGGGTGCTTGAGAGGCAGTCACACATTGATGCCTCTCTGCCTCTCTTTCTTCCTCCCTTCTCCTTTCTTTAAAAACAAATAAATACAATCTTTTGAAAACAATGTGTCAACATGTTGTAGACCTTAAACTTATACAATGTTACATGTCAATTGTATCTTGATAAAGTTGAAAAAAGTACTAGAAAAAACATAAGAGAAAGTTTTTAAATAATCTCAGAATGGTAAAGGCTTTCTAGGTGTAACATGAAAGCCAGAGGTATACAGAAAGCATTGACCAAAAACTCACAAAAAATGAACAAATACTGTAAAACAACAAAAAGCACAAACTAAGTAAAAAGATAAATGGTATAAATGAGAATCGGCAGAAAGTATTTGCATCACATATGGCAAACCAAATGTTAATTGCCTTATATATTAATGAAACCAACCACCAATCCAATTAAAAAGGTGAGGAAGGGACATGAACAGCTGGTAGCAGAGGAAGAATACATGACTTCTAAAGATGGTCAAACTCATTCCTAAGAAATGCAAATTAATGTGATAGGGAGATGCTACTTTTTACCTATCTGATTAGCAAAGCTAAAAAAGTATCGGATAAATTGCATCGGTGAAGGTGTGAGGCAACTTAGACATGACAGCAGGTGGGACGTAAATTAATCAAACCTCTATGAAGAGTAATAGAATAATCCCTACTCGTATATTTAAATTGTAAGTATTCTTTGACTTAGCAGTTCCATTTCTGTAAACTTCTCAGGTATGTCAAGGATATATATTGGAAACAACCTAAATATCCATCCATAGAAAATTCATTAAAAAAAAAAGTAGATGTATCTCCAACGGAATTCTATGTAGCTGCTAAAGAAAATGGGACACTTTCCCCCTGTGCTGTGACAGAACCATCTCCCCCACACATTACTAAATGAAAAAAGCAAGCTGCCTTGGGAAAGAGGACGTAGGGGCTGGGGGGGTGCCTTCAGACAGGAGATGGAGACTCATTTTTCAGTTATCTCCAAACCTATTTCCCCTTCTTTCTGGGCTCAGCCCACAAAACCTTCCCAGGTGCCATCCTTAAGCTTCTTTCTCCTCTGGTTGTGACTTTGGTAAACAGGTGTTAACATCAGAGTTACAGAAAGAAAAGCCCTGGGGACTTGATTGTGGTTAGCCACTGGGATTCATGGCATATTTGCTATGGCAGCTCTGTTAACTATTAACATATAGTGTTTTTTTTTTTGTTTGTTTGTTTTTACTCTAGAGGGGAAGGGAAAGGAGAGAGGGAGAGAAACATCAATGTATGGTTGCCTCTCGTGAATCCCCTGCTGGGAACTGGCCCACAACCCAGGCACGTGCCCTGACTGGGAATTAAACCACGATCCTCTGGTTCACAGGCCCGTGCTCAATCCACTGAGCTATACCAGCCGGGGCTATTACTATATACTTTTGTTAACACATTAGCACTTCAAAGCAAAGCAAGAAAGCACACACACTGTTGGTTTCTTTCAAACTGTGGATCAACACCTTTGCCTGGTTCTCTAGAGTTGGACCTCGGTGCCCCGGGCTCCAGCCACAAACAGCAACCCAGATCCTGGCTGCCTAGACGTTTGTCCTCGTCCCTCTACTCCTCTGCTGTCAAACACACCGGTATTTGCAGGCTCAGCTCATCCTGCCAGGGTTCTTCACCTCTTTTCCTTGGACTTCCTAGCTAATAATTATCAGTACCCATCCCCCTCCCCACCCAACAT